TCAGACCCTCTCAATATAATAGAGGTTCCGGGAAGTAAGCATACTTGCCCAGCCCAACCCACCCCCACTCCGAGATTCTTTAGTCGGAAGGAATGCGCGAATCGATGGACAAGGTATTACAAAGCGGCTTTTGGACGACCATCCATGGGCTTTGAATTAGGGGACGCGTCATTGGAGGGCGCAGAATACCTCAAATTATCATGGCTCGGGTAGATCTACAGTCCGATTGCTGATTTACCAGCCTGCAATGTAGTACTGAATCTGGGTTTCCCTAGCCAACAGACCTCGTATCTCACGAGATCCAAAACAAGCCGGAGATTTCAACCTACGGTGAGGATCTCATTGGATAATGGCAGTCCTTGTGGTGTCGGAAATGGGTTTCGGTTATCATAATGTCTATGGGAAGGTGGTACCCGATGGGGATCGTTTCTAGATGTAGAAATTTTCACGGCATTGAGGATGCTAGAGAAAATGCTATAAAGCGTGAGCTCGGCATATTCAAATCGTCGAAGAAAAGAGAATCATCATCACTCACTTATCCGAGTAGAACTTTGCCTACTCTTAGATCTTCTCTTCTACTAGAGCGAATTCTCTTTGTTTATTCTATCTCACGCTTGGATTTGCATCATTCTTCCAGCGGCTGCTTCCCAACTTAGGGATCTCGTTGAAGATGCTGCTATCCCGCTATATTCATGCAGGGATTTCCGTCTCCCTTTCCGCTTTGCCTCTGCTGGTAAATGCGGCGAGCAATGTCGACACTAGCTGGATTCCAATGGATCTGACTCAGTTCAGCGGAAATGCCACCCTGGATACAAAGGGTGACGTTCAGCTATTCTGGAAAACTGGAGATGAGTACTCGACCTACGGAATTGCTTCTCGCTCAAGTGGTTACCTTGCCCTCGGGTTCAGCGAGACTGGAGCAATGACTGGCGCCGATATAGCCGTGGGCTCCATGGTCAACGGCGAATTCAAACTCGAAAACCGATTTGCGGCCGGCTTTGTGTCTCCAGACCTTTCCATGGATCAGCAGAACAATATACGACTCAAGGAAGGCCATCAGCAAGATGGCGTCACAGCGTTCGTTTTCGAGAAGAAGAATGTCGCCGATTGCATAGCAGAGCAAGCCAATGTCAATACCGAATCGTGGCAATGGTTCATCTACGCGTTCTCCGACGACAACACCTTTGCCCAGCACAAGGCTGACAACAAGGGCAAGGCCTATGTCAAGTTGGGCACAGGTGAAACCATTTCGGTGAACGAAATTCGATCCGTCGACAACGCCCAGAATTTCACACTCACACAGTCTGAAGTTGCCATCCCCACTCAGGAGACTACCTACTGCTATAGCATGCACAAGATGCCTTCTGGTAAAAAGAATTTTATACTTGGCGAGCGACCCGAGAGGTCGAGTGACTTTCTGCATCACTTGGTTCTTTATGCCTGCTACGGCATCACTGACCAGGACAAAGAAATGGTTGGCAAGGATGCTGTTTGTTCGGACGATTTCTCGAATCCTTGCAATGGGTTCGTCACAGAATGGTCCCCTGGAATGTCCGGCCGCACATTCGAGCCAGGGTACGGCAAGCCGTTCGGCGAGGACTACTACGAATATGTCATGCTAGAGACACACTACAACAATCCCGATGGAGTCGAGGGTGAGAAAGACGCCGCTAGCTTCAGCTTTATCTACACCGACGAACCCGTAAAGACCGAGGTCGGCAGTCTGACACTTGGCAACGTGGGGAATCGCTTCACCCTCGAGCCTGGAAAGGAGTTGGTCGCAGTTTCAACAGTCTGCACGCCTGAATGCACAGACAACTGGCCTGAGGAAGGTATCACGGCTTTCTCTGTATTCCACCACATGCACTATCGCGGCCGCATCGCGCGCGTCCAGATCATTCGGGACGGCAAGGAGATTGCTCCACTGTCGGAACTTCGCCACTTTGACTACGGGTACCAGTTCTCCAAAGGTTTGAATCAAATCAAACTGCTGCCGGGAGACAAGCTCATTACCACCTGCGAGTTTGAGACTACAGGAGACAAGGAGCCGGTGCAGGGTGGTCTATCAAGCCAACAAGAAATGTGCTTTTCCTGGGTTGACTACTATCCGGCCAACAGCATCATGCTGTGCTCGCAGTTCGACTTGGGCAATTCAACTGAAAATGGGTTGACAGGAACTGTAGGCTTCTGCGCAGACCATACCAAGCCTGAGGCAGAGATGTTTGAGTCGACTTACCTCACATCCTCGTTTGAGGCACTTCCGGAAACAGGGAAAACATGCAATGCGTCGAACTCTACAACAGAATCTCCCGACAATGCTGCCGATGACTCAGCCGCCACCTCCAGCCTGCCTAGCTTTACCATGTTGATCACGATGCTTTCGATGCTTGGCTTCTATCTGGCTTTCAACAACTAGGTACTAGAAGAACTCGATACATGGAAACCGGCGAGTGTGGGATTAGATTTATGGGTCTGTACTTCTATCCCTACTGGGCTGACTTATGAAGCTGTCTTGATTACATAAGGTTATTGCCTAGATAGTAGAGAGTTTGTCAGTCATGTTGCTACAAACATTATATTATTAAATGCATATTGGTGATCTCCGTCTCGATCACTCATCATATGTGGACCCAAAGTTCAGTCGCAAGTGACCTCTGGCTTGAAAGTAGAAAGTTGAGCGAATCAGAATATGCAGTAGAGGGAGAAGCGCGAGATGCAGCTCTTACAATAACATCTTGCAATAAAGAGTCTAGAATTAATTTAAAATCTATCGTGTTTGTTCTTTTTGAAGAGATACCCTTTTATGAGGCCTTAGGCTGTCTTGGTCCACAAGGTTGGTCCACGATTGTGTTCTTTTCCCCCGTAATGTCAAGGCACTCGATTGAACCTCCGCTGTGATAGATGCGAGTTTTCGTTTCTGGACGGCGTTGTCACTGCTCTTGATAATCCGTAGGAGCACCGTAGCATCAGTCCAGTTGAAAGTATAGGGTCCACAATACAGGACAACATCCTTTGCCATTGCGAGTTCTTGGGAAACACCAGTCTGTCGGAACCAAGAGCGCTCGAGTAGAGTCATGATGGCCTGGATCTCGCGGGTAGAGAGCAAAGAGGTGTCTGACTCCGAATCTATCTCCATCTCTTGATCGACGCCCGTGTCCCACTTGTACTGGAGATAGTAGACGACGGAGGGCCTTATGCTGTCGCACTCCATCATAAGCTTGTACGCTATAGATGTAGTAGCATCATCTACTCCAAGCCACCCGATGACCATCCTGGCTTGGGATAAGATTTGTGTCATCATAGCGGCCTGCACATTGCGCTCTTCCACGTTACTCTGGTCAACACACAGTGCTTCAATCCAGAACGGATCCCCCATCTTTCTAGCAGGGTCTCCGCGGTCTTCTCCCTTCCAGCTAAGTAGCAGTGCGGCCACCTCTTCGTACTCTCCGCGTCGTTGTTGCACACAGCACGCGAATGGGGTGCGATGGCTCTTGTCAAGCTCATCTAAACTCGCGCCATGCTCGAGCAAGGCTCTAACCATCTCAAGCCGGCCATTCTCAGCAGCGTAGTGAAGCGCCGTTTTGCCAAACTCATCTTTGGCATAGAGATGGGCGCCGGAGCGAAGACAGTCGAGAACCTCGTCGAGCATACCCTGTTCTGCGGCTTTTATCAGCTGCGTCTTGTCGTGTTTGTACCGCGTCTCCTCGTCTGCGGTGACATTGGAGTTGTGCCGAAGCTGTCTAACACGCGACAATCCCTCATATAAGTTCCTTGACACATAGAGCAGCCGGCCGTTGACGGCTACAGGCCATTTGCATGCATCGCCATACTCATCGTTGGAGTCCGACTGCACAGCGAGTGGATTGCCAGGGGCGTATGACAACACTTCATACGCCGGGCTGGAGTAAAAGTCGACGGTATCTAGCGTGCATTCAATCAACGGGATGCTGCCTAGTTTATAGCCTTCTGGCTGGCCGTGCCGTTCAACAAATGAAAGAAGACGAATCTCGTTTGGCGAAATGTCGGTGTACTCAAACGGTTGGAAGTCAAAGGTTGGGAGGACAACGTCCATTGCCAGATGGCTATTGCTTTCCATGTCGAGATGAAGGCATGAATGTTCACGGAATGCAACGGCTGGCCAGAATTAACGTCAATTCACGGTTGGTGCAATTATTATTCTTGGTTATGGGAGGCAGAAGCGGTGGAGCCGTTTGGATGCCTAGTGAGGCACAGCACAGCCTCGATGCAGTCAGCACATGATCCGAAGCCACAGTGTGGCATCCACTTGCTCGCATTCGACTAGGTGAATCAAGTCCGAAGGCTGATGTGGCTGGAAATGAAGACTGGGGCGTGAGGCAAGAATGAAAGAAAAGACCAGATGCGTCAACATGAAACTCCAGTGCTATGGTGAGAGCTGCTGGTGATATTGCCACTGTAAGTGATCAGATTTCGCCCTTCCTTTCACCCATTTCTTAAACCCTGCCCTTGCCTGCTCGTAGGGCCAAACAGCGGATGTGCCCTTGCCAGAATAAGCACCTCTTTTTCCATTTACCGATCCACTTGTCCACGTCGGCTGAGTTATTTTTAGGGCTTGAGCCACATCTGATGAGCTACCCTATGGTTGTTGGTTGGATTGTGAACACGCACGTACAAATATGCACAGGCTTTGTGGTACGGGTGAGACATATGAAAGTTTACACGTTGTATATGGAAATTCAAGAATCAATTCCACTCCGAGAACAATTGTATATATGAGGGCAAGTTAGTATGTTATGACATGTTAAGCAGGACATCAGCATCATAAACTTGCTACATCTTGCAAAACTGGTAGGTTATATCTTCACAAACGAATATACCGTTGCTATGTTCATAGTTCAATTTGTGTCATTAGAAAATATTACGAATAAATACGGATATTACCACTACCAGTTGTTGAGAACACCAAGATAGAAATTATGACAAAAAGAAAATGTGAGTGGTTGTGCGAAGATCGTTCCCCCTCAAACATACGGTTTGACTTGGGCTTCTGTCCATTCCCAAAATTCAGCCGAAGTTCCAAAACCTCCTTCTGTCTTTGGAACCACCGCTTTGACCTTGTCGGACGTCATCTGCCATATTCTTCCCCAAGGAGCCACTGGAAGAAAACTACGAGTTAGCTATATGATCCACCAGAAGTTGGGGTCTTGAAGATACTTACCAAATGTCCCATTGTTTTCCATTGTCAGCTTTGAGGAAAATGCTGCAAAGAGGTTTGTATATGCACCGTAGATGACGGGATGCAAAACAGTCTTCCGAAGGAGCCAGTGCTTGAAAGCGCCCTGGGTGCGCCAAAGGTCAGAGTCTAGATGGCCGGGGTTCAGAGAGATCGACATCAACCCATCAGCCTTGTGGCGAGCCGAATACTCTACACCGTAAAAATAGTTGCCGATCTTGCTTGTACAGTATAGCTGGTGGACTGTCTTTTTCTCGGGGTGCTCCACGTAATCCATAAACGTGTTGTCGACAACCAAACCATCGCAAGCCGATGAAGAAGCCCAAATAACACGAACGCTCTCTTTCGGGGAATTCTTGGTTGTACTAATGAGAGTGGGAGTAAGAAACTTTGTGAATAGGAAAGGTCCTAGACAGTTCACACCCATTTGCAGCTCATGGCCCTGGACTGTCTTGGAGCCGGGCTCGGGCCATCCTAGACCTGCATTATTGAAGAGAAGGTGCAGTTCATTTTCCTTGGCCAAGAATTCTTCTGCTGATTTTTTGATGGTGGTGAGGTCGGCCAGGTCAAGACGAATGAATTCCAGGCTGCCGGTGCTTTTGGGGACCGCGACCCTTATGCTTTCCATGGCCTTCTGTGTCTTCTCCTCCGAGCGCGCAGCGAGGTAAACTTTGGCATTGTTTGCATACAGGATCTGCGCAATCTCTTTACCAATACCGGTGTTGGATCCAGTGACGAGGCAGACCTATGTTATGTTGGTTAGGAGGGTGGCTGAAATGGACATGGAAGGGTATCTACCTTTCCCGTTAAATCAGGTACGTTTTTCTCCGTGATGGTAGGTCTGGGCGAGAAGGCCTGGAGGGTTAAACTTTTGAGACCGCCGAGAGACATTGCTTTGTTGGAACTGGTTCTTGAGAAGGAAGGTTTGGAGATGTAGTTCTGATGGAAGTACTGATAAGTGGCTAAGTACTGATGGTTGAGATGGTGATGATGATGATGATGATGGCAAAAGAATTGATATTTGGATGAGAGGACTAATTATATAACATGAGGGCATCATAAGGTTTGCATTGATCAGTGGCGCGATGAATCATGATACCTCCGGAATTCCGCGAGTTTGGAGCATTGCATGTTGTCCAATGCCGAGCCGAACTCCAATTCCGCGGATTTGAGAGTCGCCAAATCCGGTCCAGCACGCACTTGAAACCCGCACAGTCACAATCCCTTGTCATCTTCAACTCGCACTCGCATTATCCTGTCTAGGTTCCTCGAAACAGGTTCCTCCGAGGTTGCAGGGAATACGCATATGTGTCCATGGTTTCAGGCTAGCTTAATTAATTAACGAATGTATTATTCACCCGCATTCTATTCTACCTTCTTTACTTAGTAGCTGCCGAAGACCATTTGCGCGCTCCAAATCTCGCCAAGCCAATCAGGCTACCACTTCGCATAATCTCCAAGACAGTCACTTCAAGCTTCAGGCGCTGTCGGAGCCAATTGCGAAGCTCAATAGCTACCAGAGAATCAAATCCAAGCGCAGTGAGCTCCACCTTCATGTCCACCTCGTCCTCGATGTAAGGCTTCATCATGAAGCTGTAGACCGCAATTGTGATGCTGCGGGCCAAGCCGAGGATGAAAGTCTCGTCATCAGTGAGAACAGACGGGTTCGTTTCAATCGTGTTCAGCAATTTCCGAACAGCAGCGTCCTCCCCCTCTTCCTTCTTGTCGCTGTTAGCACCATCGTCATGGTGGTCTGTAGCCGCCGCTTCAAGATTGCGGTACAGGCTCATGCGGGGGTCGCGCGTCCAAACATTCCGGTTGTTTGGCATCGACAGCGGCATGGTGGATCGCAGGGCCAGGACGAGCTGCGCGTTGGACACGAAGCTCTCGTCCTCGATTGCATGTGCCGCTGTATCCTCGGCCAGTGGTTTCTGGAAGCTTTGCTGCTGGCGAACAGCCAGTTCCAGAGCATCCAGCACGTGCTGTTCCCGCAGGATGTGATGAGATGTCGTCTTGAAGAACTCAAGCAAGTCCGGCTGCTCGGCCACAAAGCCAACGTCAGCGACGGAACCCACGTCGAGAACCGCTACCGGCAGGCCCTTGCTCTGGCCAAACTGCGCAAAGGCGTCCAAAAACACGTTGGCTGCGCTGTAATTAGCCTGTCCCCGGGATCCGATAACGCCAGCGAAGGAGCTAAACAAGACGAAGAAGTCCAATGACTGCTGAGAAGCTGAGAGGGCGTGGTACAGGTTCCAGGTGCCTTGAATCTTGGGAGCCGTGGCAGCTGCCCAGTCTTCGTGGGGCATATTGGCGAAGAGCCCGTCCCGCAACACCATGGACAGCTGAAGAACCCCAGCCACGGGCAGATGAGCCTGGCCAATGGCACGGGAGACATCATCTGGGTTTGTGACGCTTCCGGCCACAACATGGACTGTGCAGCCAGCTCCTTGGAGCGAGCGTACTAGCGCGGTAACCTCTGGCTTGGCTCCTCCGCTGCGGGACAGGAACACAAAGTGGCGTGCCCCGTTCTGCACCATCCAAAAAGCGATAGACCGTCCCAGCCCTCCAAGCCCTCCAACTAGGAGATAAGTGACGTTTTCCCGGAACAGGTGCTTTCCTCCTCCACTTGCCGTCGTCCTCGTCCTTGACTCAGAACTTATAACAAGCCCATCATGGTCCGCTCTTCCATCATCCCACATCCGAACCACCAGCTTGCCGATATGGTTGCCGCCCTGCATCTTCCTGAGAGCACTCACCACCTCATCGGCCTCAAACCTCGCCACTGGCCCAATAGGGGGCAGCAGCCCTTCCTTATGCCACCTCATCGTCTGCTCAGTCAGCAACTTTCGAAACAAGGCCGGCCTCTGCTCGATGATCGGCACCAGCTCCAGCCCGTAGAAAGTTCTGTTCCCTTCGAAAGGCGCCATCTCCAACCTTCCCCCGTCCAGAAAATCGCGTTTCCCTAGCTCCACCATGCTCCCAAATTCTGCGACGCACGACCAGCTCGCGTGGAGCAGAGGCCCGGACAGGGAATTAAGCACGAGATCTAAGCCGCGGTTCTCGGTAGCGCGGAGAACTCCCGGGAGGAAAGCGGCGCTGCGGGACTGGAAGATGTGCGACGGAGACAAGCCGAAGGTAGACGTCAGGAACTCCGTCTTCTCGGGACTGCTGACGGTAGCGTATATGTCGGATTTGGGCACCCCCACGACGTTGAGGCAGACATGCATTGCTGCGAGTCCCACGGCGCCGCAGGCCGAGTGAATCAGTATCGTCTGGCCCCTTTCCAGCCTTGCCAGGTTGACGATGGCGTGGATGGCGGTCGGATACACGCAGGGCATGGTGGCGGCGTCCTCGAAGCTCAGCTCATCGGGGATCCGGACGCAGTTGGTGGCCCGCACGACAGTCGCAGTGGCATATGCGTTCCGCGAGACGGCCATGACGCGGTCGCCGACGTGGAAGGTGTCGGATGCAATAGGACCCGCGGCGAGGACTACGCCGGAGCATTCCACGCCGAACCCGTCCCCGGCTTTCGCGACGCTGGGGATCAGCCCCATGGCTGTGAGGGTGTCTTTGAAGTTGAGCCCCACGGCACGGATGGAGATGATGACTTCATCAGATGCAAGCTCCGAAGGGAGGGGCAAGCGGTTTTCTGTCCAGTGGAGGGATTCTAGTGAGCCACGTTTACTGGTTTCGAGACGTTTATACGTCCGTTGTTGCTCTTGTTCTCGTAGATGCCCATTTGCGTTGCCGGCAAGCTTGTCGGGGGTTTGGAGCTCGGTGGCGACCAACTCATCGGACACAGAAACCCAGTGGAAGCGCGGAAGGTAGAGGCTGCCCCGGCGGTAAGCAAACTCGCAGTCTGGGCTCGCCATGCCATCCTGCGGCTGCGTGCTGCTGCGAGTGCGCAGGATCTTGTGATACACGTCGACGACAGACTTCCAGAACGTACCTGAATCACCTTCCTCCTCCTCCATCTCCAGTGTACAAAGCGCGAGCCCCGTCTCATTGCGAACCACGCGCAGCAAGCCTACGATGGCGGCATACTGCGGGTCAGTGCAGTGCATTTGGCTCGGTCTCGTCAGCCAGAGCAAGCAGCCACCGGCTTCCGGAGGCGGGATCTTGGTGGATATAAAGTCCTGAACCTGCCTATATTCTTCCGCGGGCGTGTCGTCCCGGATGAAGGCCTTCTTCTCCTCTTCGATATCCAGGATGGATATCACCGTTGTGCCGCGTGGCGTATCCGAAAGACCAATGATATCGACCTCGTGGAACCCTAGTTTCTTCAATGCGTCGGATGCTGCCTTAGCCACGCCGCTGTCTGGCTGTCGACAGAGCAGGGAGACAGCTGAGGTCAGGTCGGGATTGGCATGCAAGGGGGCAGACTCAGCAGGAGCCGCGACGATGGTGGCGTTGGCCTGGAACGGCTCCTCGTCGACGTCCAGGACGACCGAAGGGCTTGAGAAGCCGGCTTTACGCAGCTCTTCGGCCCATCGCGCTGGAGCCACATACGGCTCCTCCTTGCGCCCATCCTCGCCGCCGAGCCACCATCCAGGCAGAACGCCCATGATCAGGTTGACCCAGCGGGCCTCCATGCTGATCTCCTGCAGCAGAAGCCGTCCGTCTGGACGCAGAAGCTTCCGCACGTGAGCCAGGGTGCGGCCGAGCTCGGGTGTGGCGTGGAGGACGTTGGCTGCTACGATGAGGTCGAATGACGCGGGTGCGAAGCCTTGTGTCTCGGGATCTGAGGAGATGTCTAGAGTTTGGAAGCGTATGTTGGGATAGCGATGACGGGGGAATCGTCGCATCGCCGCGGGAAAGAAACCCGCCGACACGTCCGTGTAAGTGTACGAGTAGAAGGCTGTACTCATGCTGTTTTCTCCAACGCCACGATCAAGCTGGCGGAGAATCAGATCTGTCGTGCCGCCCGTCCCAGCGCCGATTTCTAGGATCCGGAGATGGGGGGTGCGGTGGCTCAGGAGCTCGAGGAAAGGGGCGTAGTTCCAACCTTGGTTGCTAATGTTGTAGATGTTCGTTAACGGATCCTCTTCTTCCTCGCCCTCGTCACGGTCAGCATCAACATCTTGTTCTTTTTCTTCCTGGCGGAGAATCTCTAGACCGTCGCGATGGCCATTCAATAGGTCCCCGAGGCCAAGGTATACTCGATGAATAAGTTTGCCAACATGGCCGTATTCTGTCTCGCGCAGATCTTCAACCAACTCCTTAATAAGAGTGGCGCGCTGTTCCTGATTGAGGCCGAGAAATTCCTGTGATTCACGGCGCTTCACCAGTGGGTAGACGACATCATCGTCTCCATCCCCGTTCTGGGCACTTGCATCCCTGACTTGAGTTGCTTGTTGAGTCATCCACTTCTGGAACTCAGCCAGGTATGGCTTCGAGGGTTGAATCTGCCCGTATTGGTCTTGAGCCGTCACGCAGCACAAGAGTAGAAGTTTCTGGAGCAGGTAGTAAGCCTGCTTTCGTACAACCATGCCGTCCGAGGAGGATTGTGATCGTATGAGTTGGGCGGCATCCTGAAAGTCGAAGTCGGGCCGCCACCGGAGCCGGGCGCCGGCATGAGGATCCTGGCTGCCATTGGGAACCTGTTGCTGCTGCTGTTGCTGAGACGTGGCATCATTCTCACCCTCATCCAGCGGTGTCAATTTCACATCCTTGAGGCGGAGCACAACCGCGTTAGCCGCGTCTACTGCAACACAAGTGCCAACCATTGGCGATCCGGGTATCTGGTTGTTGATGGATGCTCCGACCGTTATCTTGCTCCCGTTGTGGGCGCTCGTCCTTTTGAAATAAGCCTCGCCAATGTAGGTTGGAACTGCCTTGACGTGCAAGGAGCGGGCCTGGCCGTGCGCCATGGCGGCCGAGAAGAGCTGCATACAGGCATCCGAGGTCGCCGGGTGCAAGAACAGGTAGTTGGGGTCCGTCTCGTCCGGTTTCAGGTCGGCCACAGCCTCGTTGTCGAGAAGGTGAGTTGAAATGCGATCAAGCCTCTGGAATCGCGTGCCGTAATTTTGCCCCACGCTTCGCATTGTGTTGTACCAGTATCTCGCGTCGACTTCATGTGGCAAGTGGACGATCTTCTGGTCACGGCCATCGTCGCTCTCGCTTCTGCCGTCTCGGACCTGACCGAAAGCGTGCTTGGCCCATAGCTGTGACGTCTCGTTGTAGGACGAGATGCTGAATTCCCACCATGCTGAGTCTAGGTGGTTGGTTACCTTGTGCCGACACATTGACAGAAGGGTCTCCGTGGCCTCGGTTCCTCCCAGAACCAGCGCTGAGAGAATGGTCACTTGCCGGAAGGAGATATCTTGAGCCTCTGGGCAGAGTTGTCGCAAGGCCTCACCTGCCATCGCAAGATAGCCAGTTCCCGGAAACACGACATCGCTACCAATCCTATGGTCCTGACACCATTCGATGTCCTCGATCCGGAGCCAGTTGCGCCAGAGAGGCTCCAAAGAACTGGCTTCGGCAACTCGACTACCGATGATGGGGTGGTGAGCGAAGTGACGGCCCCGATACTCACGCGAGACGCGGCTCTCGTACCAGTAGCTAGTACCGTGATTCCACGGGTAGGTGGGCAGCGTAGGGAGAACATGGCCGATAGGGTTGATGGCATCAAAGCGCAGCCTCTGGCCCTGACAGAAGAGTTGACCAGCCGTGGTGAGTAGCGCCTTGCTTTCGTTCTCGGAGCGAATCAGTGTAGGAACATATAGAGGAGGCGATTTGTTGTAAGTCTCATTGAGAATCTGTCGGATGGGCCCTGAAAGTGCAGAGTGTGGTCCTATTTCGATCAACACAGTATTGCCTCCCGTCTGCTGGAGAAGTGTTTTCAGTCCTGTGTTGAAGAGGACGGGGGATTCCAGATTAGATCGCCAGTATGCGGCACCGAGCGCACCGTCCACCTCTATCACTTCATTGGTTACTGTGGAAAGGAACTTAACCAATGGCCATTTGCTCTGTATGTGTGGTGCAAGATCCTTCTCATAATCCGAGCCAATTAGCTTCATGTGGTCTGGATTGTCACACAAGACGGTCTTCGTTAGCCAGTGTCCAGGGAATATAGGTAAGTGGATAGCAAGAGGAGAACGAGGCCAATATCTTACGAGAGTGGTAGGCCATATCCACGGCGAGGCGCCTAGCGAACACCTCAGGTTGGTCCTTTTTAATGGCATCAAGGACCTCGGTCAACTTGTCATCATCTCCCGATATTGTGGTGCTCAGGGGACTGTTTTCACAAGCGATCACAACCCCGTCAGTCAAGTATTTCTGAACCTGCGTCGACCCAAGACCAACGGCCGCCATACCGCCTCGTCCCTGTGGCATCTTGGTCCGGTACTTGGTCGTGGCCCTTCCACGCAGATAGGCACAGATGATGGCCTCGTCCATGCTCAGAGCTCCAGCAGCGTAGGCCGCCGCGATCTCCCCACTCGAATGCCCGATGACGGCGGCGCACTGGATGCCCCAGCTCCGCAGAAGATTGACTATGATAATTTGGATAGCCGTGCACAGAGGTTGGGAGAAGTCTGCCTTGTATACTTGACTGCTTTCCTTGGGCAGCCTGAGTTGCTCTGTTACAGCGGTTGAGTCCAGTTAGCAAACTTGGGGATTCGGCGATGAAAGAGTAAATCAACTATATAGAATAGACGATCCTTACCTGCCAGAGTCCACGTAGGGGCAACGTCTTGGCCTAGTGAAGCCAGCGCCTTGTCCATGCGCAGAACATCCTCCATGGCTGTGTGGTAGTCCGAGAGCAGTGCGGACCCCATCGTGGGCCACTGGGAACCTTGTCCGGTAAAGACAAATACAACTGTGCGTTGTAATGGGGAGGCCCGTATAGGGGCCGAAAATGTCACTTGGCCGACAGCATCTTCCTTGTTTACCACGGTAAAAGAACGATACGGAAAGTGTTGCCTCCGCATCCCGATTGTGTAGGCGGCATCATCTAGCTGGTCCGAGTGGCTAGCAAGAAAGCTGCTGAGCTTGACGGCGCCTTGACGGGCTGAATCGGCGTCATTTGCCGTGAACGGTATAAGCCGACTGGGTTTAGTTTGGGCGTTCTTCCCAATAGTTCCTGCGCCGTTTGTAATAGTAGAACCTCCATTAGCCGGAGCATCTTCTCCATTAATAGTAACATGTCCATTGGTTGCAGAATGGCCGTTTGTAGTGGGATGAACCCCATTTGAGATAGGATGAATACCATTTGGAGTAGGATGAATACCATTTGGAGTAGGATGGATCCCATTTGGAGTAGGATGAATCTCATTTGAGGTAGGATGAACCCCATTTGAGGTAGGATGAACCCCATTTGAGGTAGGATGAACCCCATTTGAGGTAGCAGAAGCACTTGATGGCACCCCAAATGAGGCGGCAGATTCGAGAATGACATGAGAGTTGGCCCCGCCAACGCCAAATGAGTTGATGCTCGTGCGTTCGGAGCGGTCCTGTGGCCACGGGACGGCGTCTAGGGGAACACGGAGCCCAGCCCTTTTGAACGGGACTATTTGGAGCGAGTGATAAGTTGAGTCAGCAGCTCGATATCACTTCAGAGAGTAAATACAGAGGATAGAGGTCCACTCACTGTTCGGGTTAGGTTTGTTCAGCTTGATGTTGGGTGGTATCGTTTTGTGTTCCAAGGCCATAACGCATTTCATGAGCGAACTAAGTCCTGAAGCACCTTCAGCATGGCCGAGGTTAGGCTACCAAGATAACCGTCAGCTCACTCTTGCTGGACTTAGAGAGATGGGACACTACACTCTCCACATACCTTTATAGATCCCATGTAAATCCCCCCGTGGGCCTTGAAGATTCTGCCCACCGCGCCAGCTTCCTGGGGATCTCCACTCGAGGTGCCGGTGGCGTGGCACTCGAAGAATCCGGTACGCCCTATCTCGCTTTCGAGACCGGCAGCACGATACGCGGAGCGTATGAGAGATTCATGAATTGCGCCGCTGGGCTTCGTTAGGCCCGAGGTCTTCCCATCCGCATTACTTACCGCGGAGCGGATCACGGCTCTGATTGGGTTGCCATCGCGAATAGCGTCCTCTAGCTTCTTGATATAGATCATGGACACGGCTTCCCCGCGGGCATAACCGTCAGCGTCGGCATCAAATGACTTTGACGAGACGCCTTTGCTAAGTACCCCGAAGTGCACCATCGTCTCAGTTTCTGTATTGTTTTGAAAAGCCGTCAGCCTCGCATCGACAGACTACCAAGTCCAACAGCTCAAACTCACTGGCAGGATTCGTCATTAGGTTTACACCACCAACTAGGGCGCTGGATGCCTGGCCTGTGTGAATCGCCTGGCAGGCCAGATCCAGGCCGTATAAAGATGAAGAGCAAGCTGTCCTCACCGTCAGGCTAGGGTTGTTTCATTAGTTACCAGAAGCGATATGCATTCACAGGGGTATTCATTTACCTGGGTCCCCGGAGATCGTACTCGTAGGAGATTCTATTCGACAGAACGAAATCTCCAGTCCCGGTGAGTTTATACGTGTGTAAATCATGTCGGTCGTGGTATTGCACGTCGTTCCAATCTTCTCCCAACGAACCAATGTATACCCCTATATCTTTGCCTCGCCATTGCATCTCACCAGCGCTCTCTAGACATTCACTTTGTCAAGTCGTCAGCAATTTATTCGCCCTCACCACGGAATTGGGCAGTTACCGAGTGATCTCTAGAAGAAGGCGTTGCTGAGGATCTACCATGCCCAACTCGGCTCGTGTCATGGAAAAGAGACCAGCATCAAAAGCCCCAATGTCGACATCGTTCAGCATGTACGAGTGGGTTTTCCAGTGTGGTGTGTCCGGCATGTCGGTGCTCTCTGCATCTTGACCCGGAGAGTTTCCCTGGGGCCCATGAGTGGCCCATCGTGAGGGGGGAATCCTAGCACATGCATCTCCCTTGTTCAACAAGAATTCCCATAGATCTTCTGGAGAGCTGATTCCGCCAGGAAGGCGTGTTGACATGCCACAGATGGCCAATGGTTGGAATCTTGGGGGAGAGGCATCCTTGGATGCTGTGTCTGAACTTGAATACATTTTGACAACGGCTCTAGCGTCTTACCACAAAAATTGTGACAAAATGGCTTGGATCAGTCAAGGACTACCTACCAACACAAAGGGATGGCCGCCAAATGGAAAAGATTAGGTCCATGATATAAAAGGGATAAGCCTTAGCCTATGGAGATAGCGGACACCTCCTACCACGATGTGACGTGATTATTCCTAAATTCTAGTCCTATAACATCTCTGATTCCTGCCATCTGTTTGTTGGAAGAAGCCGAGTTCCATGACAACGTTACTGTTCATCTCTTGATCACTCCAAGAGTACCACTCCACATGTGAAATGATATTATAGCTAAACTAAAAAGAAATACATCTTAATTGCTTATCTTTATTTAATTTTACTATATTATAATTATATATATATATATATTAAAAAAAATAGAATAATTACTTATTTTAAGTTAAATTAAATTAAAAAAGGCTTTAAAATATCTAAAACTAAATTAAAATAAATTCTTCTTATATTATAAGTAACTTAGTTTATAATAATCTTTAATATTATAATATTTAAGCTATAATAATATATAATATATAACTAGCTAGCTTTTATTAAAGTTTTTAGTAAGATATTAATATCTATATTTAAGTTTAATATATAATCTTTTAATTATTTATAGTATTAAAGGTTTAAGTATAAACTATAAATTATATTTAAAAAAAAACTATAAAATATTATATATATATTATTTATAAATAAAATTAAAAGATTAAGAGTTTATAGTTAAAATAACTATATTTTAAATAAATTTATATAATATAAATATTAAAAACTATTAAAATTAGTAGTTTATCTTAAATATATATATTTAATAAAAAGATAAAAATTATTTTTATTTTTTCTGTTTTAGCCTTCGATTGGTCTCGTCTCCTCGCTTTCGGATCAGTTAATTAACTCCAAACTTGACGCGTTAGGCCTCGGTGGTCTTGTCCGGCTATCACGGCACGGGCCGGAAGTCTGGTAGTGGCAGCTGAGTTAGCACTCAGCTAAAGCCTCACGCGTTAGATATTACCTGGCGGGTCTAATCAGCCAGCCTGATTCTGCCCCTTAGAGCCTGGTCCGCCGGATAGACCGGCCTGCTGTCCGTGCTTTGGTACCTCGGCCGAGGATCCACGCGCATTGGGCTGATTGGCTGATGAGGCCGTATTGTGAGGCTTCCAGCTGATGGCCCGATGTGACACTGATCGGCGAGAAAGGTTCCATGACAATGTCATTGTGGGAAATTGTGAAGTACCTACGGCGGAGGAACTTTGGTCCTGGGACCAAGAGACGGCAAGAGGATTAACGGAGGCTTTAGGTAGGGCCGATTGAAACGGAGGCTCCCCATTAGTCAGGTTAGATCTCCTGAACACTACAGTTGAAGCCCTAGTTAATACAAGACGACCTAATAAAAGGGAACTTATTGCAGAGCTTCCTGTTACATTGGCATTGACTTTTGTTCCTTTCCCCCGTACGTATGTTTGCAATGGCCATCTTGGCTACCCTTAGGATTTGTAAAGCTGTTGGTCGAAGTATTACCTCCATTGCTCCTGGGCCCATAGCTCTCCTGTAAAGTGTGACGCAGCAACTGCAACCAACTGATTTAGGCTATAAGTACCATTGTACTACATTTAATCTGTCTTCAAAAGACTTGTCCCAACTCCCACTTGACCTACTCAATCCATTGCAAACCGTTCATCTTACTTGTGTGCGATTGCCTAGCTACCCACACAATCTTTAAGTTGTTGACTCCCTTTCTGACCCCCTTTGATCATCCCTGTCAACATGGCACTGCAATCAACTGAGCATCTCTGGCCAAACGCCATTCGAAGCCGGATTTCCGAGACACGGCCCTATGCTAAGGTCGTGTCTGTGAACGGCCAGGTCCAGGATGTCACTTTCGCCGATCTGGAGAACGCGTCCAATCGAGCTGCCAGATTCTTGGAGCAGAACTGCCCCGACGATATCTTCGTCTATATGGGGCCAAGCGACCTACGATATATGATCTGGGCACTTGGCGCCATGAAGGCGGGCAAATGTGTAAATATGGCCCTTTCCTGACCTCCGGTCGCACGTCTTCCCTTCTTACGCGTCCAGCAAGCCTGACTCATATGTACATAGGCTCTATACCCATCCTTAGCAAATCCAGTCCCAGCCAATCGTAGACTTTTCTTGACAGTTGGCGTCAAGAAGTTTCTATATGCGCCCGAAGTGGCTGACATGTTACTGCCGCTCAGAAAGGCCACCGAAGACATTACCGATGCTCAGGTGGCATTAAGCTATCCGGAGCTACACAGCAAGGACCCCGTCGACCCCTACCCATTTGATAAGACATGGGATGAGGTCAAGGACGTGCGCTTCATGGCACTTCACACGTCAGGCACATCTGGTCACCCCAAGCCCATCTACTGGACCCATGCGGGTGCAAGCATCATCCCCTCCTTTCTGCAAGATGAGTTCTCGGCGGCCAACGGCACCAATCTGATGCGCGATCTTCTGAAAGCCACACAAGTGTTTTCGCCCTTCCCCTTGTTCCACATGGGTGGTATGGGCCCCGCGATGGCGTCCGTTTTCTGTAAGAACACGCTGGTGGTTCCGTTCCCCGGCACACCGCTATCCCCGGCCAATGTCACGGCAATCATAGAGATCGCCGAGTGTAATTCCACGGTGATGCCCCCCTCGGTACTTGAATCCCTCCTCAGCCACCCCCCGGCGCTTGAAGTCATCTCCAAGCTGGACCATGTCGCCTACATGGGCGGGCCCATCAACCCGGCACGTGGTGCCCAGCTGGCCAAGTCCTGCAAGCACTTGTATCCGCTCATGGCTAGCACTGAGGGAGTCGCGTGCCATCTCGAGTCGTCAAAGGACAGCTCGCAGTTCAACACGTTCAAGTTTGCGGACCTCGGACAGCGCATGGAGGAGATGGTTCCTGGGCTGTACGAACTCGTCTTCCCACGAACCAAACGGATCCATGACTCGTCTGGCTTCTTCCACGTGTACCCGCACCTCGAGAACGAGTACCGAACTTCGGACCTGTTCGCACCGGCAGGCGAAGATGGCTGGTGGATATACCGTGGACGAGTAGACAACTGGGTTGTCATGTCCAATGGCCTCAAAATGGACCCCACCGAGATGGAGAATCAGGTGTCCAATGCCCCCAACGTCAAGGGCGTGCTGGTGGCTGGTTCTCACCATTTCAGTCTGTGCATGCTCGTCGAGCTGACCGAGACCCCCACGGACGAGGCCAAGGCTTACGAGGAGATCTGGCAGCATGTCAAGGAGGCCAACAAGGATGCCCCCAAGTTCGGCCGGGTGCCTCGAGAACTGCTGCTGATCACCAAGCCCAGCAAGCCTTTTCTGCGGTCCGCCAAAGGAACTATACAGAGGCGGCTCACCATCGCCCAGTACGAGCCTGAGATTGACGAGCTCTACAACAATGTGGAGAAGGGTCTCCTTGTCAGTGGACTCGTGCCCATCAAGTCGACCAAAGCGGACGATTTGGTTCCCTTTTTGACTGATCTGCACATACAAACCCTGGACCTCCCTGAGGGCCACACCATAAGCGCTGACGACGATCTGCTCAGTCTCGGCATTAATTCCCTCGTCACCCTTATCTTACTAGCCCGCCTGAAGGCATCACTACGCAAGCATGGCGTGGCAGATGAGCACCTGGAGAAAATTACTCCCAAGCTTTGGTACACCCTGCCCACCATCCGCCAGATGGCAAGCAGCCTGTCCACTATTATCTCACCCACAAGCGCCGACGCCAAGACAACGTCTCAAGATATCGAAGAGGAAGATGTCGAGAAGCTTCTCGCCAAGTACACCGAGAAGGTCAAGGGCTTCAACACAACGCCCAGCAGCAAGAAAGAAGATGGTGGCTCGCAGACTATCCTTCTGACGGGATCCACGGGCTCTCTTGGGTCATACATCTTATCTACTCTACTGAACAATGCTTCCGTCAATGTCATCTGCCTCAACCGCAGCCCCGCAGCCGCAGCACGCTCCAAATTCCTGGCCTTTCTCCAGCAAGTCAACGGGCTTGCACCCGAGGCAGCTGCCGGCCTGATCACCAGCAACGAGAAACAAGGTCGGCTTATCTTCCTCCAAGCCAAGCTCCAAGAGCCCCAGCTTGGTCTGTCGGGCGAGGAGTATGCTAAAGTTTTGGGCGAGACAACATCAATCATTCACAACGCGTTTCCTGTCAACTTCCTCCTCAGCGTGGTGTCCTTTGAGCCCGCCATCCAATCCCTGGTTAACCTGCTCGAGCTGGCTGCACGAGGAGAGAAAGGGCCGGCTGTGCTATTTATCTCGAGTATTTCGGCGGCTAGCCTGTCCTCCAAGGCTGGCAGCACCATCCCTGAAGCTGTCATAACCCCAGAGCAGGCCCGGGATCTCATACCTATGGGCTATGCCCGTGCGAAATACATCTGTGAGAGCCTTTTGCAGACCCACGCAACGCGCTCCCTGTCGCCGGTGTCAGTTCTTCGCGTAGGCCAGATCTGCGGGCCCATCTCTGGAAAGCGGAGAAACTGGAATCCAGCTGAATGGTTCCCTTCTCTGGCCATCAGTTCGAAGTTTCTCGGTGCCGTGCCGGACTCCCTGGGTAGAATGGACATCAACTGGGTGCCTGTAGACCAACTGGCCAAGATTGTCTATGAACTCAGCACCGTGGCCAAGTCTGGCAACGAGTTCGTGCTGTACAACGTGGTGAACCCTCAGACCAGCGAGTGGTCGGACTTGCTCCCCGCGCTAGACGAGGTGTCACCCTCGAATCTAGCGCGTCTCGCCCCAGCTGAATGGATCGCAAAGGTCGAGGGGAGCGGAAAGGACAGTGGGGATGCTGACGAGGGCAGTGGTGCTGGCACTCATCTGATTCATCAGAATCCGGCCCTGAAGTTGGTGGATTTCTACAAGGAGTCTCTACTGGGTGGTGATGGTGGAGCCGCAGTTGATGGCTTTGACGTTGACATTAAAAAGCTCTTGGCGGCCAGCGAGGTGGCAAGAGATCTGCAGGCCATTCAGCAGGGGGATATGGCATCGTGGGTGGAAGCATGGGGACTGTAAGATTTGCCCCTTTGCCCCTTTTTGGAGACCCCAATATGCGGACTATGATCGTAGCATCACGCCACACCCGAGATAATGCCAACCTCTCTGGCACCTTATTGTTAGTACAATGACACGCATCTGCAATCAGCCAATCTTGTGTACGTAAGCCTGCTCGTAGAGAACGCGGCCTCGCTTTCAGTCTCTCACCGCTCCATGATCCTTGAGCAGAAATGGGATAGGCTATATGGGTAAACGATAATTATGTCGATATCTAGCTTAAGTATTCTTTGTGGGGAAAGGCACTTTTGTGTCCGTGGTTGGGAATTCAGTAACCTTGAGCACTTCGGGAAGCACTTGAGCTAACGTGTTTTTCGTGCGAGAGCAGACATAGGATCAGTGCCTGGTACTTTCTGAAAGCCGGAAGGGACCCAAACAATGACCTGCCTTCACTGTACAACTGCCTGAAACAGCAATGGCCGACTTGAGGGAGTATGAAACGACTTGGTGTAACCGTGTGAGAAAGCCTCCGAAGAACAAGCCTGGCTTGACCTCCTCATAGCCTAAGTTTGTCAGCCGATCAGATAATAATAGAATGGCTATACTGTAGTTACCTATTTAAAATAAAGCTCTAATATTTACTTTATATTTATATCAGTGATAATATAATAATTTCACTTCTAATAAAAATAAATTATATTCTATAATAACTAAATATTTAGATGTTTTTATTTAAATTATTAAAATATTATAAGCTATACTATTACTTTTAAAGAAGATTAAATATATATTTAAATATTTCTATATTCTTTAATTATAAAGCTAAAGGCTTAAAAGTTATAAATATTTTCTCTTATTTTTAAGTATAATATATAAGATAAAAGCAAAAGCGAAATTAATATAGGTATGAATCTAGCATTAAGCATCATTATAGTCCACTTATTTCTATATAATATAATTATATGATTTTAGTTTCCCTGTTTAGCCTCGTTCTTAAATTAGAACTACCTATTACAACGTCCGAGGTTCAGGCATCGGCCATTTCAGGTATTGGCCATTCCGCAGCATTACTGAAAAGGCAGGAGGGCACAAGGTTCATGTGCGAGGTTATTGCCGCTCCTGGTCGAGATCGGTGGCCTCCCAAATGCACGGGCAATCGGCGCAATAGCAGCCAACTTCGGTAGTATGCTCCGAATGGGCTGACTGCTTATCACGTCTTCCGACTCGAATCACAACAGAAACAGACCTCTAACGTTATCCACAGTATTACGAGAAGTACCAAGGCGGGTCTGCGTCTCGACCAGGGCTCCCCTGCTGGTTCCGGAAGATCGGCCCAAGCCTTTCCAACAAGAGGGAATCGACCAACATGAACCTGTCACCTGTGTGCATGTGCCGCGCTCACAAGAATGACTAGTTCCTTCCAGATCCGCCGTCGTAAATTTTCACGCTTTCAGATCTATATCCTGGGCTATTGAAACTCTTGATTGGCCTGCCTTTTGCTGCCGACATGCCTCGGCACTTACTATAGATTATCGGGCGACGGAGCACAACTTGTACGACCCAAAGCCCGATGTAACCTGGAATCCTTCCGAGCGTCACATTGATAAGCCGGATGTCCATTCGGGGGCAGAGTCGGCGGCTGCGACATTTAGAACTTGTTCGATATATCATGGTCGACCCGCGAAAGGATCACTAACCCGGCCGGGGGTGCGATGCCACACCGAAGTCCTCTGTCTGATGCATTACGACTCTCTGCGTCTGTCATCGGCAGGTCATAGATGGCAGGTCTTTCGATTGGGCCAAGTATGTCTTCCCAGTATGCCACACCTGGGCTGCTGGCTGCTTGAACACGACAACCCTTTCAAAATCATCCCCAAGTCGTCTTCGTTCTCTTCCTTCTCGTCCCCGTGGCCGTCGTGATTCGCAGCCGCTGTAACCCATCATGTCAGCGCCCAAGCCCGTCGCCCACTACTCTGGCAAGCCTGGGCTAGCACCCCCCGACGGGTACGTCTCGCAGTTCGATAACCCTCCGAATCGCAATACCGAGGCCTTAGCTGGCATCATCATCTGCATCTTCCTCGCGTCGTTCTGTGTCATCACCCGCGGGACATATCTCATTTCGACGCGACAGAGGTTGACTGTAGGAGACTGTGAGTGTTTGCGATCCGTCTTTTTCCCATAAACATTGCGTACTAATGCGAATATACAGTCCTCTCCTTCGCATCTGTAGTAAGGCCTCCTGCCCGACGTCGCACGAACGACACTTAGTCCTCAGGGAGAGCCAGTCGTCGGCTAATATCCATTCTACCATCAGGCTCTTTACTCGGCATACATCGCTCTATTATTTTGGTTCAAGGAAGCGTGCGGATTCTATGTTCACCAATGGGACAAACATATCGAGGACTTGCCGCTTGTGTTATATGTAACCTCCCCCCAGTTGATCCGATGCGACCGAAGCATATACTGATCATGCGCGAGCAGGTCGTCCACAATGACAGCGTCATCTACGAAGCCACGATGGCTAGCATAAAAATCGCAATCCTTCTCGAATGGCTGCGGATTTTCGTGCCGACGGGAACCCGCGGTTGGTTTTGGAGGATTTCTTGGTCATTGCTCATCTTGGTCTCCATGTACTATGTTGGGGCCATCTTGACGCTCGTCTTCTCGTGTATCCCCCATGAGAAGATATGGAATACGACCATGCCCGGGCGCTGCTCGGATACTTCACTGATCTTCATCACCAGCGCCTCGATCAATCTGGTGTCCGACGTCATCATGCTGATTCTCCCTCAGAAGAAGATCTGGGGCTTGAAGTTGACGTTGCAAAGAAAGTTTCACATCTCTTTGGCCTTCTCTATCGGTCTCATGTAAGTGCATATCTCACTCTCTATGATCATTCTTTCTATGTCGTCGCCGGGTTCAAGTCTTTGATTAACTAACGTCCAAACTCGTTCTGTAGGGCATGTGCCTGCGCCGCTGTTCGACTTCAAGCCGGCCTCCATCTCTACCACTCGGAAGACCGTACCTATTCCATCGCACCCATCGCTCTGTGGTGCATGGCCGAGATGACCTGCGGTTACCTGATTTACAGTCTTCCCTGTGCGCCCAAGGTGTACGGTCCGAAGGGGTGGATTGGCAAATTCGTTGTCAGGGCCGGGTTCATGTCGTCGGGCGGTTCTACATCTCAAGGCTTGTCTCAATCGTCCCATTGGCGAAGCAAGAATCCCAATTCGTCCACGAATGGGTACTATCAAGTCGACGACACTGTGCAGTTGCAAGCACTGCCCCCGGCAAGGTCCAATCATAATAAGATGGATCCGGAGGATGGCATTGTGCGCACAACGAGGATAGAGGCTACCAATGAACCCCGAATGTACGGCACCGGAGCGGACCGCGATCCTCGTTGGTAGTCTTACTATGTTGGATAAATCTTAGCTGTGCTTTAATGGGAGGTCTAGGATATATCTTGCAGGCTAAGAATAATGTTCAGCTTATGTATAATGAGATAATCAGTTGGGTTGTATCATCTTAACTATGTAGAAATGAAATATTTTATTACCATTCCTTATTCAATAACATACTAAAGAGGGTAGATAACATCTTGCCTCGAGGCTAGAACTCAGGCCCTATGCTTTGGGGTATAAAAGATTTCATTCTCAAACATTCTAAGTTTTTTCTTTGTCTCCCACCTCAGCATCACCCTAAGGCTCCTGGCTGTGGTGTGTATATAGCCTAAGCTTCTAACTGAGCCGCAAGGAAAGCATTTAGGCTTCCATTGGCCCGTGGCTGGAAATCAACACTCTTTTGCTCAGTGGCGATGAAATCGCCATCCCCTGCCTTGCCCCAAGCACCACCTCCTGGGGTGTGAACAACGAATCGATCACCCAGGTCCATATCAATTTGACCTCTTGGCCCTATGCTGAGCCAAGTATACGACCCATCTCCATTCAGCTGAGCCCAGTAATTTGTTCCGCGTTGACCAGGTTCGCCATCCTCCATCCCATAGGGTTGATTCACTCGGCGCTCCGAGATCATGCTGAAGGTCAGGGGAGCACGGCACTCAAAGTCTCTCACCACGCCGCAACCACCGTTAAACTTGCCCTTTCCGCCACTTCCTTTGCGGATTGAGAACTCCCGCACCAGGATAGGGTATCGCCTCTCCAATACTTCAGCATCCGTCGTCCTCGTGTTGGTCATGTGAGTGTGCAGGCCACTTGCGCCGTGCCAGGTTGGCCCAGCCCCGGCGCCCCCGGCGATCGTCTCTCCATAGTTGTACGCGAATCCCGGCAATGGTTTCCCATCTGGACCAACCCCGCCACGGCCGAAGAAGCCCATGCAGTTCATGCATCCTTGTGAGGCGGCAGCCGCGCGGAAAGCCTTCAGCAGGAGGTCAGTGACCCGTTGGGAGGTGAGCGTATTGCCACAGCAGACAGCTCGGCCAGCAGAGGGGTTCAAAAAGGTGTTTTTCGGGATGAGCACCCTTGTTGGGGTGAGGCATCCTTGGTTGAGCGGAACATCGCTATTGATCAGAACCCGCATGGTGTAGATGAGTGCCGAGTAAGTGATGGCAGGAGGGGCATTCATATTCGAGAGCATCTCAGAAGATGTACCTTCAAAGTCAAATATTCCAGTTCCCTCCTCATCAATTGTGATCGAAACCTTCATGATCGATCCGTTGTCCATCGAGTCTTCAGCAGTCAGAGGAGCAACTCCGTTCCTTTGTCTTACTCCCTTGAGATAGTTTCTGACCGCAATTTCGGCATTTTCCTGGATCTTTTTCATATAGAAGTGGACTTTGTTCTTTCCATTCTCGGCTATCAGTGCTTGGATCAGTGCCGCACCCTTGTTGTTTGCGGCAATCTGCGCTTTCAAGTCTGAGATGTTATCGCCCAGTCTGCGGGAGCCGGTGCAGCCCTCATGCGTGCCGGGCTCGAGTAGAATATCGCAAATACCCTTCTCATCAAACTTTTCATCCCTCACTAAGAAGAAAGTCTTGATAGCGGCACCCTCATGGTATAGTGAAGTCGAATCCGGCGGCATCGAGGTTCCTTTCAGTCCACCAATGTCCATATGATGACCTCTGGAAGCGGTGTAGAAGCAAATCGTCTTTCCATCTGGCTCAAACACAGGAGTAATGACAGTGATATCTGGCAAATGCGTGCCACCGGCTTCCGGGTGGTTCGAGACAAGGACATCTCCAGGCTTCAGATTACCCTTGTGAAACTCCGACTGGTATTTTACGGCGTAGCTCATACTGCCCAGGTGGACCGGGACATGCGGTGCGTTAGCGACAAGTTCGGCGTCCGGCCCGAATATTGCGCAAGAGAAATCTAGCCTCTCTTTGATATTGAGGGAGAGACTGGTTCTCTGGAGTGTCCGGCCCATCTGCTCCGCTATCCCCATGAAGCGGTGGCTGTAGACGGACAACTGAATCGGGTCGGCCACATCTTCCGCCACGTCCACGACAGGAAGAGTACTTTCTTCTGATCGATCGATGATTACATGAGAAGTCAGGATCGAGGCTTTCGAGCTGGGGGCGACAAAAATCGTTTGGGTCTTATCAATGATCAGGGCTGGGCCCTCCACAACGTCGCCTTTCTGCAATTGCTCCAGTAAGAACACCGGTGCCATCTGGTATCCAACCGGGCTAAAGTATAATTTTGTCTAGAAGGAAGTTAGATCGTTGGATAACACACGTTATCGGTTGTTAAACTGACCTTGTGAGCCGCATTTCGTGCTTCGATGGGAACAAATGAGGTCTCTTCTAGCTCCTTACGAAGACGATCATTGTCTCGACTGACGTGTTCGCTTGCTCCAACACCGCAAATCCTAATGTCATCGACAAGAACCCTCTTAGAGTCCGGAAACAAGAACGCCAGCTCCCTTACATGTTCTTTCTCGAAGGCGGGCCTAAAATGACCATCCTCCGGTTCATGAATCATGAGTTGAGTCTCTGTACCCTCATATCTCAGGTGCAGATACACATCGTATCGAATAGCATCCTCGTCGATTCCTTGGGCGAGGAGTTTGGCCTTTGCCTCGCTCTTGAGACTTTGGATTCTCTGATGGATCCTTGGCATAGATTCAGTGGAAAGCGTCTCGCTGCTTGGCTCTTGCAGCTCTTGCGAAACTTCAGCAAGAGCCATGCCGTATGCTGAGAGGATGCTCGAGAACTTGTGAATAATGACCCGCTTGATATCTAATTTCTTGGCTAGATCGCAGGCATGCTGTCCACCCGCTCCTCCGAAGACCCCCAGGTTATGAGCTGAGGTGTCGTGCCCTCTTGCTTCTGTGATTGCGCGGATAGGTCGCCCCATCGCTTCATTGGCCACGTCTATGAAACCATTTGCTACTTCCATGGGAGTCATGGAACGGCCAGTCTCTCGGTTTATTGTGTCCGCTAACTCGGTGAACTTTTGGCGCACAATTTCATCGTCCAAAGGCTGATCCTCGTTCGGGCCGAAGATGGACGGGAAGTACTGGGGAAGCAATCGGCCAAGCATAAGATTTGCATCCGTCACCGTAAGGGGGCCACCCTTGCGATAGGAAGCCGGGCCTGGGTGCGTCCCAGCACTCTGTGTTGTATGGTTAGTCTGATCTCAAATTCCAGCTCAAGCCATCAAATTATTTACCTCGGGTCCAACTTTGAAAAGACCATTTTCCCAAAACAAGATGCTGCCACCCCCAGCTGCCACAGTATTGATGTCCAACTGGGGACTCTGGATCGCGACGCCAGCCGTGGTCGTTTCAAAAACATGCTCAAGTGATCCCCCGTATCGAGAAACGTCTGTAGAGGTTCCACCCATGTCAAATCCGACAACCGGCGTCTTTCCATCGTATGAGGTACGAGTGTAACCCACAACGCCGCCTGATAATGGTTAACGGTCAGCCACATGATGGTTCACTGAGATCAGTTGGTCGTCATACCTGCAGGTCCACTCAAAATAGCCTTGAGGCCGCTGAAGTACTTGTAGTTGACCAGGCCGCCATCACTTTGCATGAATTCACACCTCACACCATCCAAATTGCCGCCCTCAAAGCCCTTGGCGAAGGTCTGAACATAGTGTTGGATCTCCGGGGTGAGATATGCATCCGCAGAGGCGGAGCTTCCTCGCGAGATCATCTTGATCATCTTCGCGCCTACGCTAGAGGAGGCGGAAATATGGGTGAAACCGAGCTCCATGGCAATCCTGGCCACAGCCTCTTCATGGTGGGGGTAAAGGTAGGAGTGGGCGAAGCAAATGGCAAGGGCATCGATTCCTTGCTCTCGAATAGCAAGCAGCTTTGTTTTTACCTCCGCGACGTCGAGAGGCTTGATGATGCGCAAGATGTCTCCCGTTGAGCCATCCACCAGCGTCCCAGGGATGCCTTTTGTGGGCAGAACGAGCTCCTCAGGGCGGTCCTCAAAATCCTCAACCGTGATTCTCTCAGAAATCTCAACAACCTCCTCGTATAGCGTGTCGGGCTTTCTATGATCGAGAGCGAATAGCTTTGGACGGGACTGGTGACCAATATCGAGCAGGTCACGGAAACCCTCCGTGACGATGAGAGCGTGCCTGGTTCCCTTCCGCTCGAGGAGAGCTACAGAATCTTAGTCAGTTGACAGCGAATAATGTATGAGCTTTGTGAGATCTATACCGTTTGTGGCAACGGTAGTGCCCATCCGGATGGATTCGATGCGCTCTTTTGGCAGTGGCGAGGATCGAGGGATCGTGGTTCCGGTTACTTGCTCCAGCACTCGTCGGATTCCTTCATTCACGGTCAGACTGATTTCATTCGCAATGCATGAGATTTCTGACCTTCTGAAGGTGCATCTGCATAATTCTCGGGGTCGACGGACAGAAGCTTGAGGACTGTGTCAGGCTGGCCCTCAACCGCCGCCCACACATCGGTAAAAGTGCCACCCCGATCTAGTACACGTCAGCATTGAGACTTGGAGTTGGGAAAATGCTGCAGGAGGCTTCACCTATGGCAAACCTAATGCCTTTCGGAGCGAGAGTTGGATTTGAACTCATGGTTGGAAATAGATCAAAACGAGAGCAATTGCTGTTTGGCCATGCCTCGCTAATCTAGGGACATTGAGAATATATTTATAATTGAATTTCCAGACATGGTCAGATCTGAAGACATGACTTCTTAGCCGAGCTCGCTCTCTTGAAACGAAGTGATGACGATAGATGCCGAGAAAGGAGGTGATGTTATGCGAGCAGTGTACCCCAAGGCCCGCTTAGCGATAACACTAGACGACGCCTCTCGAAAAAGATCAAGTCGACGCGATGAGGGAGGGTGGGCAATCGAACTATGGCCGAGTCATGACTCCGAACTTCCGCAACGAGTGGGCTTGGCACGGGGCTGATAACGAGGGGAATGTGGGTTGCTCGCGTCGACCTGCCTCAGCCCCGCCCGAATCAATATCAGTTTCCAACCGGGGTGTCACTATCGTGTCATGTCACTTCCCCAGGATCTTGGGCCAACCCGACAGCCTGGATTTCCAAGTCCTGCAGGGAAGAACTGATAGCACAGCTCCCAGATCCCGGGACCATGAGCATTCAATGCCAACAGAGATAGACCGTCTACAAAAGGCTGGACATCTCTCCCAATTTTTCAGACTCTCCAAGACAACAGCCCCCCAAAGAATGTCACCTTTTCTCTGTCGCCTTATTGCCAATATCTTGAAATCAAACTCATCTTTGCCCAATGTCTTCAACCGAGGAGAAGAAAATGCCCGTTTCTGGCGAGGACGCCATCCACCCTGTGACAAGCAACCAAGTTGCACACGGTGATGACAACGTCAAGCACGCCCAGTCCAAGGAGGCTGACCAGGCAGCAAAGTTCCTTGCGTCTGTCGGGCCATTCCCTCCAATGACGCCAGAGCAGGAAAAAGCCATCGTCCGCAAGATTGACCGATGGATGATTCCTTTGGTACGAATCAGCCAAGGAAACTAAAGAAAGCAGATTGCTAACACAAGGCCTTCCTCTAGTTGCTGTTCATGGGACTTTTCGCCGCCGTGGACAAGGTTCAACTTGCAACCGGGGCTCTCTACGGCTTCAAAGAGGATAACAACCTCCACGGTCAGGACTACAGCTGGCTTGGGAGCATCCTCTCACTTGGTGTAAGCTCCACCTTTGTCCCGTGCTCTTGAAACCATCTAATAATTTCAAGATGCTTGTCGGTATCTGGCCTTCGACTTATCTTATACATCGATTCCCAGCCGGGAAATATCTTAGCGCATGCTCCATGTGCTGGTCTCTCATGACCTTGTGCATCGCCGCTTGCCACAATTGGGCCGGGCTCATGGTCTTGCGGTTTCTCATGGGCGTTTTCGAAGCCATTATAAGCCCTGGTGCCACACTTCTCATCTCAGTATTTTGGAAGAAGTCTGAGCAGCCCATCCGCAATGGGAGTAAGTCCCTTTTGCTCGTCTTTCATCATTGAGAATTCAAAATGTTTGTTTCTGACGTGTATCCAGTCATCATGACTGTCTTTAGCTCCGTCGTGAATGGCTTCCTGTCATGGGTCATTGGCAAGATTCCAGCTGACGCCCCGCTCGCCCGCTGGCAGTATCTCTACCTTCTCACCGGTAGTATGAATGTTCTCTACTCCATCTTCATGATCTTCTACCTACCAGACTCACCCATCAACGCTCACTTCCTCACAGTTGAAGAGAGATGGCACGCGGTCCAGCGCCTCGCGGAAAACCGAACCGGCATTGACAACAGCCAGTGGAAGTGGGACCAAGCTCGGGAGGCTGTTCTCGATGTCAAGATATGGATAATGTTCTTCTTCAACATCGCTGTCAATGTCCCAAATGGGGGTCTCATCACTTTCGGTGCGCTCATCATTAACAATCTCGGGTTTGATGCTCAAACGTCAGCTCTCTTGTCCATGCCGAATGGTGTCATCTCCTCTGCTTCAGGCTTCCTAGCCTCTTACTTGGCTGCAAAATGGCAAGGCCGTCGCACATTCGTCGTCATGCTTGCCACTCTCGTCCCTCTATTCGGCACCGCTCTGGTGTATGCCCTCCCAAGGTCGTCGACTGGGGGCCAGATGTTTGGTTTATACTTGATGTACTGCTATTGGGGTAGGAGCATCCAGAAAAACACACCTTTCGTACCCCTGCTAACAACATCCAGCACCATATGTTACGGCCATCTCGCTGCCACAGGCCAACACCGCGGGTAGCACGAAGAAGGTGGTCACGTACGGTATTCTTCTCTTGGGATATGGAACGGGTAACCTGATTGGGCCCCAGACATTCCGTGAGACGCAGGCTCCTGCATACACTGGCGGAACCATTGCGATGCTGTCTTGTTACTGCACAGCGATTTTGCTGATGGGTCTCTACTTCATAGTTGCGAGGCTCGAAAACCATCGCAAGGACAAGAAGTACGGAAAGGCCCATCAGGTCGAAAAGGAAAACGTGGATGCTCTTATGGAAGTTTACCAGGATTTGTCTGACAAGAAGCAGGAGGATTTCAGGTACACACACTAAACATTTGACCGCGTTGGGCAGGAAGAAGCATGATAGATTCAGGTCAACATAGATACTGAACTCCTGTATCTAGTTTGAGTCTTATGTAGTTGTAGGTGTAGTTGGCTACTTTTTTCCCCTCAGTGTAGCCTAGTATTAGCTATAGAAATCCCTGAGAATATTTAAGAGTGCCTTGTATTTCCCTGGGTCCAAACTTTTAACATTTGCATTTTTGGCCCCTCTGGCTCTTCGAGCAAGGGCACATGGGGGTAACACCATAGAGAGCGCACTGATATCCGTCATGAATGTGAGAAAATATACATTGATATCTTGGACCCTTAAATTAAAATCTATTAGCACGGAGGACAGGATTGGCAGGGAAAGCGATTAGAGGATGACTAACACGAGTGGCGAGGTCTCGCTCCATATGGTACTCATACTCGTTGCGCTCTGCGAGGTACTCTTGGTAGGCCTCACGGGCAGCGAGACCAGACTGGTCATGCTGGGCCATGGCGAAGCCGGCGAGAGTAAAGAGGGAGATGGCAGCCTTGATGAAATGCATTTTGGATGGTATGATGACAAGTAATAAAGAAGATTCCGATGAAAGGAGACTTGGTGCTATGAATGTTCACCTCTAAGCAAGAAAGCTTAGCGATATATATACTCTTTTACCCAGAACTGAAATTCGGATGCCTAGCCCCTAGTTAATTTGTGAAACGCGTGTCCCCAGCTCTATGGATAATAATATGTTCACTCTCATGGGCGAGTATACAACGGCCGAGGGAGGCAGCCCACGGATATGTGGGTTCTAAGATGATTGTAAGCACGGTCGAGACTCCCTTCTTAGTCGTCGGGGCTTAAGCCGCCTCCTGCTCCTACACCTTGCCGTCAGAGACAACTACATCATCGCAGCCAAGTTAGAAAATACACCCTGTTGAGCCCATAACCTCGTGACTGTCTTGGATGTCCTTGTTAGTATAGGGGCTATAGCGCAGTTGCTACTCCTGAAGGTCACTAGTGTCATGGAAGGAAGCAATCCTGGAGCATGGTTCATGACATTCTATTCTCGGGATTCAATGGCAAATACGAAAACAAGATAGGCTCAACAACTCAGAAATACATTATATTAATTAACCTACTATTAAATCCATAGCTCCTAGTCGTTCACCATGAGATTTTCCGTCCCTAATTACGTTGCTACGTTCTTCACATTATTATACGCTGGTATCCGGCATATAGCGCCAGAAGGATTTTAAACCTGCAGGGGAGCCTGCGATAGCGACAAGAACGCCTCTTTAAGGGCGTCAGATCACGATTCAGGTACCGAACTTCCTCTTTTAGTTACTCACTTAATTTCAGCTACCTGGTTTCTGGCCAGGGTTACATTGTTCCCGGTATCACCACTGCCGACTAGAAAATCCCGTTCGCAGCCTCCGACAAGGGCGGAGATCTCGGCACTGCCACGGCAAGTACCGATGGGTTCCCCAACGAACTTGGAGGCTGCCAAATTTAGCATCTAGGATATGCAGGGATGCCTGCACGTAGGTTTGGTATGGAGAATTCTCAGATACGGGCGCCTATACAAGCTCTCGGCCATTATTAGGCCGGGACCGACGGTGTTGGGAAGGGGTACAGTCGAAGTCAGACTATGCACTAAACATTGAAGCCATTGGACAAGGTATCAGCAATTACCTTTCAGACGTCATTGAGCAATGTAGCCATAAGATTATTTGACCACTTCAACCAGAAGTTGGACAAGAATCAGTGGATGGAAGATAGTGTTTTTTTGGTGTAAAAAATGCCAGTGCCAACGTTACAATGTCACACCGTCAGAATCCTAACATAAGCTCACACCATAACTCTCTACCCGCCCGATATCGTACCACCCGCCCATGTATTCTGGACCTTGCAGATCACGCATTTTCCAAACAGCCTCTACGATCTCTCTTGCCCGCCTGACGTTCTTGAGCTGTCGCGTCTGCTGCAAGCTCACAAGTCTTTCCATCACAAAAATTCTCTGTGCGTCTCCACTCTCCGGGTTGACCACTCCAATACCCATGGTCCCCACGACGAAGAGAGGCCACAGCAGGGCATGGGAGCGGAGGGATATTTTCGGTATCAGGGCCAGTATTTGTGAAGTCAGGTTGTCGATGGGTGAGAACCCTGGAGGGATACGGTCGAGCCTTGAATACATGTACACCAGTGCTGACAACCGGCGCGTCTCCGCAATATAGCCGAGCTCTTCAATGGCACTTTGGCCATGCTGGTCGCAGTCTATGGAGAGAGAAGTTGAGCATGGCAGGACCTGTTCCAAAAAGTAGAGGCGTCTCTCGATGTTGTTGCGCCAAGCACAAGTGACCTGCCCCCGCTCTCGCCAAGATTTGCCCTCGAAAATACCGTTGGTTGCGCTTGCGACTGACAATCTTTGCTCTGCGAGGTTGGATATTTCCAGTATCAAGGAAATTAGCTCAGGTGAGCATCCCAGCAGCGCATCGATAACCGTCATGCCGACCTCGAGTCCAGGTGGGAACCAGGACACACACGCCGCATGGGGATCAAGGATATCGTAAGCTGTCCTCGCAAAGGCTTCGTGCTGGGCGAAATAGTAGCAAAAGAACCGAGACAAGTCCATTTGGGTCATTGATAGATTGTTTCTGATGGGAAGGAGAGCCTGTATATTTCGGGCACAGTGCTGGTGGATTAGCCACGTTGACGAGGCATTTTGTGATATCTACCGCATAGTGCGATGTCAGAAGCAGTCAGTATGATTAGCACAAGCACAAGATACGCACATCGAAAAAGGTGAGCATAATCAAGGTGGCAATGACTTGCTCCCACCCCTTGGATGACTGACTGTCTTCTCGAAAGCGTGCAATTTCATATTGAAACCCGCGAAGCGCCTTGGCGCGGTACATCCAGATATCTCTTTCGAAGCGCTTGTCTTTGAGCATGTACAGCTGGTAGGATGATATTGCCATTATGTTGTAAAATAGTGGCTCGTTTATAGCAGACAAGCAAATAGGGAGGATAACTCTGATGAATGGGTTCTCTGCTGGCCAAGTGGTGCACCGCGGGATGAGCCCGTTAGTGAAGTAGTCGAGAAGGAACATTTCGTTGCTGCCCAGCCCAAGCGGTGATGGATTACAAGGCAAAACGAATGGCGTTGGCAACTCGGTACTAGCCCAATTATTATCCAGCCAAAATTCGGCATCATAATTGCGCTCTTGTACAGTTTCATTACCGTCATTGTTATATTTATATAGTTCATCTTCGGGTTCTAACTCAGACGGTTGTAACGTGTTTGAAAATAGTGGCTCAGGCGCCAAGGCCACTCCTATTGGAGTTGAAGCATTTGGATCGATTGCTTCGGAACGAGGGCAGAAATCTTGATATGTGGTATTCAAGAACATCCAGCCTTCCGGGTACGCTGCGTTTGGTTTCAAGCTCCTGACCACACGAGGTGATGGAGTTTTGGACGTGGCCGAGCAATTCGTATCCTGTTGTCTTTGGGTCGATCGCCCTCGCTTCCTAGACCGCGTTCCTACAGCGCATGAGCCACTCGACCGGGCAGGGGACATTTGGGATGGTTCCGGCTCAAGGAACATACCAGATCGTCCCAATGCGATTCCTCGCGTGAGCGCATCCTCGCGCCAAAGGAGCTGAAGTCCATAGCGGCACGGCAGTCCAAGACGCTCACAAGCGAGACACAATGGTCGGGTCTCTAGGTTATTTATGTTAGCAACCAGTCAATCCAGTCACCTCATCATATCATCGTCACTCACCATCACACTTGACCCTACGTTCTGCTCAATTGTCAGCGGAAATGCAATGGAATTAGTTCTTCATTTACCTTTGCATGTCCAGCAGCCCGTCCGGTGGCGTCTAGCCTTTCTTTTCGCTGCAATTTGGGTAACCTTTGCCATTGCCATGCACTGAGAGAGATGGCTCAGGTCAAAATCGTGCGATTGACGATTTGGGGTCATCGTCCTTATCTACCGTATCTCCTCATTTCCAGTATCTTGTGGGGGCTCTCACCAACTCTTCCCCGCATGACACAGGAGCGTTTCTGGAGTAGTGCCACAAAGTTTGATAGCCTACGATGACCTTCTTTAGCCCCTCCAACGCCCCTCCCACCATATACATGTTAGGCACTGTGATCTCGTGCACTTACAACGCAAGGGCCAATGCTTTATCTTCTTATACATAATTCACGTCCCCTTGTTATCTATGATTACGTGCACACGCCAACTCATAATGTTGGTAATTGTGTTACTCTAGCTATATTTGAGGCCTCGAGAAACAGGCGGCTACTGGAGTGATGACTCCACCTGGACAAGGAAGTGGATGTGTCGTGGAATTTTCATAGCAGTTCCTGGGGCCATTCTTCACTTTGAGATATTCATCCAAAGGTCTCATGATTGAATAACTGTTGAAGGCAAGAACTCAGACTGACCTGAGATAGTCCTTCCTCGTTGCTGGCTGGCAGGTACCCAGGCTGGAATCCAATACACAGAGCATAACTGACATAAATTGGAGCGGTGCCTAGTGGGGCAAAATGGTTGCACATTCCTTGTCTGGCGCCACAGAACATGCAAATCGTCGGCCAGTCCCTCCGACTTGGCCCGACTGATTTACCTCGGCTTATCTACGCCCAACTATTGGCTGATGTGGAAGCAAGCCAGGGAGGCTGCTGAGACTTTCGGCAAAGGCGACCCCCATCGGTGCCGTGGCCGATTTGGCCGATGGCGGATCAAATTAGAAGCACGTCCTTCTTTGTAAGCCTAGAATTGATTGGCCAGGATCCCCGGCCACTTAGTCATACTACTAATGTCTGCTCATCATACCTACTTATTTAGGAATAGTTTAAACGCGTCGAAGAAGCCACCTTCTACGCGACGTTGAGCTTACCTACCCTAGAGCTTAGGGATATGCCATCATAACTCTCATAACTTGCTATGTTTACCAAGTAAAAAAATCATTAAAGTCATTTTCTGAGGTAAAATAAGTTGTAATTGCGTTAGACATTATTCGTCTTTATTTTTCATCACAATTGTTCCACGTAGAACTCATGATTGTTTTTTGTAGTAATCCTAGGAGTTTCCCGTCAAGTCTTTACACTTGGTACGTCATGTATTTCCTTAGATGAACTGAAAATATGAGGAGGAAGGATTAAAAACATCGAAATTAAGGTCTGGAGGAACTATCAGTTCGCCCCAGTTGTCGAATCCCAGCTCGATCCCAACGTTCTCTGATCCGGATAGCTCGCTGTCTCCCGGCCACGAGTGAATCTCCCCAATCGCCTCTACTTCTTCGAGCATACTCAGGTGATGTTTTGAGGGGACGTTCCCTGCTTCTGCTAGTCCCAGCAGAATACGACGACCCTGCTGATACATTGAAACGTCATTTTCCGTCTCCTCTTTGCTTGACTGGCCCGCGCCTTGGAGCCTGCGGCTTATGAGACTGGCAAGGTTCAGGATCATCAGACTAGAGAAGAGATGGACGGAGTCCCAGTACCCGTATTTGACTGTATTTGAATTAATTAGCATCTTGGCTTTAAAAAGATCAGAAATGGTACGGTCTACCTAGCTTCTGTGAGCCAGCCAGGTTAAGCAGGATCTTCGCGTTGCTCCGCGCAGCTTCGAGACAGATTTGATTGATGGAGCGAATGTCGTCTGAGAGGGTAATGACAACATCTTTGCGCAGAACAAAAGCGAATTGATGAAGCAGGATGGGTCGAAGGAGGAGTATGTAGCACTGAAGTGAAAGCTATTAACATGAATTCGAGGGAAATGTTGAGAGAGTGGACAACGCATAGAAATACCTGATTGTACCGCAGCAACATTGATGACAATACTCGGGCGTCTAAATGACTGTATTCTTGCTGAATCTTGTTAGACGAACAAACGTCATGCGGGAAAGCCCCCTTGCTTGCATTCAACCGGTCCAGGCACTCCCCAATGATCTCGTACGGGTGCTCAATGTCCTTGTTCTTCAGCGTGCCAACTGTTTCGATCACATCGCTCTTCATCTCGCACACTTTGATTTGCATGATCAGCAATTCTGTGTCGTAAAACTCCTCCTTTTCCTCCGAGGTGAGAGAACTCGAGTCGGGGAGGCCAAGACTGTCGGCTTTGCGAGCATAGGCGGGGCATAGACCGAGCTCGGCACTGGTTGATCGGTCGATGCAAAAGGCAGTCCACCAGACACGCTTCCTGTGCTCCCGCTCGACATTGGAGAGCGATGATGGTGCAGGTCTATCGAGACCGAGGCTGCGCGCTAGACGGATACTTTGGCCTGCGTACGCGTATGCGGATTTTCTACGATTGAGGATGTAACTGCAATGAGACTGTCCCGATTAACGTCAGCAGATGGACGATCGTGCGCAGATAGAGCATGGGGACAAACAGCGAGATTGAGAGCCTCGATATCATCCACGGTTGGTTCCTCGTACGAGACCTTGAGCATGAGGAGACCTTGCTCGAAAAGCTCAATCCCTGATGATAGGGCCGATGGGGTTGTTTCATCGGTTTCCGAGGCAGAGGAAGTATTCTCCTCTCTCGATGACGCAGCAGTCGCGATTGACGAGTCATTCGCTGCCCCGGCTTCCGCAATAGCCAAGATGAGCGACAGCCTACAGAGCCAATTCCGGTTGACTGAGTACGACTGGAAGTCTCTGTATGTCCCATGGAGATCCCTCCAGAACCTCCTGCGCAGGAATGTGTGGTAATCCCCAAACAGTCGCTCCGCTACGGTGACCAGTTTCACGGCATAGGAATATGTAGGGAGTTTGAAGTCCAGATTCGTTTCTGCCGAGGTAGACATTAGTCAAAGCACAGTGGCAGGGAGGGATAATTGAGGCCGCATTCAACCTACGAAGGCTGTCAAATCGCATAACTGTGTACCGCTGTTGGTCCGGCGCGGAACCAAGGCTGGCTGAGCGGCGGCTGCCCGGGAACATCGGGGGCAGCCTCGTGGACCACATATTGCTGCTCGTCTGATTGCCAGGTTGGAGAACCTCTCTCATCTTGCGAATGAAGGACTCGGGGGTGGAATCGTCGACAAGCGCTTGGATAGCTACATTCTGATCCCCGTGAGGTAGCTCACTTGATTCCGCTACGGCATCGGTACTGGCCTGTGTGGTTGAAACGTGAGAGCCATTCGCCCGAATCATTTCTTTCAGCTCATTCAATGTACTGTCTATGCGCCGCAAGTAGTCCTCGGGGACAAGGACGGCCTTGTCTTTGATTGAATAGAGACATTCGATCCCTCTTGAGCTGCATCTCTGGCATGGGTACTCTGCGTACGATGTGAATATAGTCCTTGATGCCCTTCTCTCCCTGGACTTTCTCACCTCCATTACATCGGACTTTCTGTCTGTGGCAATTGCAGCACGCGACACTCCGCGGTCTTACTCTTGACATCTTGTTCCGCAGACATGCCAAGGGCTAGTGAAGGTCGGAGCTGTGCGGGACCAAGCGATGTCGCAAGTTCAAGTATTTGAATGGCTCGATATCGGCGCTGCCCCAATCAAACCCGCTATCATTGATATTAGTAAGGTAGTACCTATCAGGTAACCAGTGACCGCATAACTGGGTGACATTGGATTCGAGACACTTAGGCATATGCTTATTTCCGAGTTTGCAACCGCCTTTTCGAGATTATTCAGGGCTAGTAATAAATGCGTAAAAGAAAAGAAGCAGTATAGTATTAATTTATATCGGTCCATACTACCGTGTTATTTCTAGTCATTGGAGAAAGGGGTCTGCTTATAACCACCTTGAATTTGATGTCTGATTTCTTCTGTCACCCAGTCACCACATACTCAAGGGTGAGATTCTAAGCACCAAAGGAGCAAGGAAGACCTGAGTCATGATAAGGTTTGATGAGTCCATGCGTGGGGCGAGAAAGCTCTGTGTTAGATTTGCTACTTGACAAGTCTACTAAGCTCTGCAATAGTCCTCTTCGACATCATGGCCCATACTCTACATCTTCGACTTCGTTGCCACCTTAAGCGAACTCGTCAGCTTATCAAGCCGGGCCTGGCTGAATCTGAAGCACTCAGGCAGTCCCGTCTCGGCCCAAGGGCGACCTAGGATCAATTTGGCTACACCAGGCGCACTCGTGAATATACGTGCCATGCCTGCTTGGTTAGCATGTCGATTATCTTGTGTGGCAGGTAGGGATACGCACCATGGCCATTGAAACCAGCGCAAACAAACTGGCCGGGTTTACCATCGACAGGGCCCAGGAAGGGAACTTCGTCGCTTGTCAAGCCGACGATGCCGTTCCAGGCGTGAGCAAGGCCCTCCCCGTAGACGGCGTGGTCAATTCCCATATCCGGAAAGAAAGCCTCGAAGTGGCGCAAGGCATCGTCCTTGATGGCCTTGTTGAACTGCGTGTCGTCTGTTGTCCGTACACCCCGAATCACCTCCTCTGGGAGTTTAGGATTGGGGAGCGAGCACCCCAGAATGACGGTGCCATCGCTTTGACGTTGAATTATGGAGTAGTAGTGGTTCAGGGAGTATCGTAGAGAGTACGTGCTGCGCAGCATCTTGGAACCGGTGAGCGCAGGGACCGGAACAATGGCGTGTGCTTGCCCACGGTATGGAACAATATGGGGGGCGAGCTGTGGGAGCAGATGGCCGGTGAAGGCATTTGTGCAGTAGACCACCTTGACAGCCCGGATGGTGCCGCGAGGGGTCTGCACGTCCCAGAGCGGAGAGGGGATGCTGTGGTGCTTTACCGAGGACTTGTCTGCCGTCACTCGAACCACCGGGCAGTATGTGTACAGCCGCACGCCCTTGTCGATGACAGCATCCAAAAGCCACTGAGCCAGCTTCGCCGGATGACTTGATCCAGCTGGCCACTCGTAAGCTTCAACAACTCCAGCGATCCCGGTCTTCTCTGCCGCTTCCTCGCCTGTATAGTGCTTGACGTGGGACAAATCACCCCCAGCCCTTCGGAAGGCATCGTAGTTCCTCCTTTCGTAGCCGGCAAACTCGGGCGTCATGCAGCATTCGAGCGTGGTAGTGTAGTTGAAGTCACACGGAACGTCATGTTGGCGAACAAACTGGTTCACCTTTTCGAGAACGACGCGCTCGTTTGCTAGGATCTTGAGTGCTTGTTCTTTGCCGTGATGCTCCGCGTAGGTCTCGAAACCCCGAAATGCATCTGCCACACTGTTAGTTGGGTAGACGGAAAGGGCGGATGCTCAAAGACAAAAATGTCGCAATACCGGGTCGCACATGGCCAGCGTTTCGGGAGCTTGCACCACTGGCGGCCTCGCGGGCCTCGAGGAGGAGGATGTCCTCTCCAGGTACACCAGCCTGAATCAGTTTATGGGTCAACAGCCCACCAGCAATACCAGAACCGATAACAACATATTTCGACTCAGAAGGCAGAAGGGCATTCCTGTTTGCTTCAAGATTCGAGTAGGACCGTGTGTTTTGCTGCCAGAGACTTAGGCCCCCGTTATTCACAGGAGGTCCACGCGTCCTGGACTCGGTGGTGTCAGCACTTGCGGCAATCTTTGAGGAGGAGTTCGGCATTGTGTGTAGCTTCTGTGGATGCTGGCTAGCTTAATAACTAAAGACAGCTACTAGAAGCGAAGAAGGCAGCGCCTTTTCTTATTTATAACATTCGAAGCATAGTGCCTCGTGTTGAGGGAGTCGCCAATTTGTGGTCGATCGTAGTGCATTCAGAAGCTATCATCATCATACCGAGGTTGGTGGGCAGGTATGATACGACATCGGCCACTACGGTGAAGTGGCCGGTAATCCTACATGTACCTTACATTGACACCAGACATGTACTCGCTGGACGTACAGCAGACGAATAACCCCACCTACTATAAGATAGAGGCTTTGAGAGGAGGGAATATTTGATCCGATATCCTTTGACGAGGCAATTATCGGCGAAACTGACCGAAGTGACCGACGTGACAGTCACCAAGGGGATAACCTGTTTGTCGGCTGCCTCGCCAACGTTCCGCTAGGTACCTTCATGATTTTATTTCCAGCCTGCTGCATTTGGCATTCAACGTTATATCCATCGAGCTCCCATGGATATTCACTACTTGGGCGGAAACGAGAGAACTACAGCGACTGATCACAACCAATGAGTCCACAATGTCTGTTCTGTATCTCTGTTCAATTAAATCATCATCGTCTCTATAACTAAATCATCATCATCTCCATCACCAATGAAACCAGCACCTAGGCCATCCCGGCAGGTGCAGGAGGATACCATTTAATTGTAGCCTCTTCTGCCGTCCTTTCCACTCCACAGGTATAGCACAGTGTCCAATCTGGACGAAGCACAAGCCACGAACCGCAGTGAGAACACTGTCGGGTAAAAGTATCTCCCCTTGTCTTCTCCTCGATGTAGTTGAGATCGTGATCGTAACAACTGAAGAAACCTCCCCATCGGATGTTCGCGCCCCTGTCCGCCAGCACCTTTTGGGCCTGAGGTTTCATCTTGTTGGCAAAGTCAATAACATCGCGCACGATGGCGTCTGGCACAGGCTCTTCCAGCGGGATCGGCTTGATGAGATCAATGGCATGACGCGCAACCGCGATGTATTGCTCAACTGCAGAGCCCCAGCGCCATCTGAGGGCGTATGGCAGGAACGTCTCGGGCGTGAGTGTGAAGTTCTTCACGACGGACCCGAACCCCCCAATAGCGCTGGCCAGGTTCTGCCACATGGACGAGACCTGCGGGCCCAGTCGGGGGTCACGGAAGCAGACGTAGTTGAAGCAATTCATCTGGTTCAATCCCGGGACCAGGGCCTTTGCGAACTCGTCATAAGGAGCCAGCGTCGAGCGGATCGATGCCTCGGCAAGGTCCGCGGTGCTCTCCTTCTCGGCTGCTTCGAATGCCTTGTGGGTGAGCTCGGCGGCAAACGTCGACGTCGACATGTTTGCCGTAATGCCCGGAGAGAACAGAGGGTTGGTGAATCCAGTAGCGTCGCCGATAGCGACCCAGCCAGGGCCGGAAACCACGGGAGATTGATAGGTGAGGGTCTTGCGGACAAACCAGGTCGTGCGCGGGCCGTAGAGGTCCTCTATGAGCTCAAAGTTGGTCATGAACTCGGAAATGACGGAGTATTTGCGGACAAAGTAATTGAACTTGCGCTCTGCCTCGGTCGAGCCGTACTCCTCTATATCCTCTGGATATTTGACGTCGTTGCGGCAGGCGACGCCAATGCTTGTGACCCAACGGTAGGTGAGGCCAAACATCTTGGCTAGCTCAGCCGTGCTTGGCACTTGGTCGCCTGGGACTCCCTTTTCTGCGCAGTCGAGCAGATACGAAAGCATATCCATGAGGTTCGCAGTTGGGCTGCCTTCCCATGAGAGAACCCGGATGACCCAGAACCAGCCCTCGGGGAAGCAGAAATGGTTGGTATGGCAGCCCTCGAAATTGCGGAGGGAGATCTTGCTCTCATCCTCGGGGTACGTAAAGTAGCCCCAGAAGGCATCATAGTTCCATCCTTCAAAGCGGTGCAGAGACGCATTCTTGGATGCAAGTTGACGAAAGCGGCCAGTTGCATCTATGAGCAATGATGTGTCAATGCTTGTTGCTGGCTGACCTTGGCGTCCCTGGGCGACCTCAATCTTGGTATTTTTGATTCCGCCTTCAACTTTGGAGGCTTTGAAGTCGACAGTACGGCCGTGGTACACATTGACCCCGTTCCGTTGCGCAAACAACGTGAGGAGGAGCTCACTGATCGGGCGCTCAAGCTGGTAGCCACTCAGGTGGGGAGCAGGCGTACCAAAGCTCATGAGGGTGGTGTAGTTCCCCTGGTTTTCTCGATCGAGAAAGTAGAAACCGAAACCGTCCTTGACCCCAAAGATGCGTAAGAGGTACTCCCCCGTTAGGCCGTGCATCTTGAGCCACATGGAGAACAGGGGAAGAGTGCTCTCCCCGATCTTGTACCCGGGCTTCTGGTTCTTCTCGACCAGGGAAACCTTGAGCTTGCCTGGCTTATGCTTGGCCAAGTGGATGGCATAGATTAATCCATGTATACCGCCACCTGTCACGACAACATCTGCATCTTTGGGGGGGCTTGGCCCAGCTTCATTATTCGAGTTGAGGATCTCGCTATCGCCCAACCCCCCGTCGGCAGCACGCTGAGTGAAGGTGTGTTTCGGGGTCGCTTCGGTGGCAGCCATGATTGCATTGAGAGTAAGTGTCAATGTGGGAAGTGATCAACTGAAGCGCGTCACAATGTTCTGTATAAGAAAGAGTATTAATAGGGGCATTTGGAGGATTAGTTGGGGGACTGCCGCAGTTCCGTCGTCAGCTATGGTCTTATGCATGCCCAAATTAGATGCGAAACATTAAATAATACAACTTTATACTAAAATCAGCCCATATTTCACTGTGCTCTAGTCTACTTGTGATCTCACTTATCCCTTTTAAAATAAAATTTACTACTTTATGAATATTTTTCAGAATATAGAAAATTCATACAGTCTTTTTTATGATATGATATGGAGAATCAGTGCATTATTTTTAATACATTATTATTTACAAGTATTCTAAAGTTCACCCTCAATCAAAGGGACATTCTCCCAACTACCGAATTCATAGGAGCCCTACTTTGGCTCACCTTAGCCAACGTGTATCTGGAAACAAGTGTCTAGCAAAACTGACTAAAGCTCTTCTAATGATCCCTGTCTTGCATGTTGGAGGTGCGGTTGGTGGGTCTAGAACGCTTACAGGATCTCACATCCCTGGTCTCGGCTCCTGCGCTTGCATCGTATTAAGTAGGTCGGCTACGTTACAGTGACACGTCGAATGGAGGGGGCGTGTGCTTTTCACACACCCCTTCCCTTGATGAATGCAAAAATTAGGCAGCTAACGTTCTCGGGATTCAAGAATAGCAATTCGTCACGGCACTAGCCAATCATTTCTTTCTTAAGAAGGACAGTAAGGCGTCTTCCTGCCTACATTGCATTAGCAGACGAGTTACCGCCTTCTTCTTACATACATAGTACATCAACCGTAGGTAGTGCTTACATCGGGCATAATTTTATGTAGGTAGGCAACTAGGCAAGTATAGCCTAACATATCTTACATTAAGCATCACGGTACTATTTCCTCCATTCCTCTTTCGGTGATACCATACTAATACAACATTTCTAATCCCAAATGGGCAGTAATTAAAGAAGAAAAAAGAAAAAGAAAAGGAAGAAAAGAAAAATGGGTATTCCAGGTGGGGTTATCGGGTCTTCATACTCTACTCCTCCGTGCACTCTCATGAGTCATCTGGAACCAAACGGCAGTGAACGCCGTTATTCAGGGTCAGCGACAGCGTCAGCTGCTCCCTCCAGTCGGTATCATCCAGGCTCACGATCTCCTTGAATGCCTTGGCCATCCTCGCGATGGTGTAGGTCGCCTCCGCCAGGGCGAACTTCTGGCCAGGGCATATCCGAGGTCCTCCATTGAATGGGAGGAATTCCCAGCTGGTTCGTAGGGTCTCCCAGCGCTCGGGACGGAACTCGTCTGCGTCCTCGCCAAAGAACTCCTTGCGGCGGTGCATGACGAAGGTGCTGTAGGTGACGACGTGGTTCTTCGCTACGAACAGCGGGGACTTGCCATCGGGGCCACCGCCAACAGGAATGACGGTGTCTTTGTTGGCCATCCGGCTGTTAGTGGCGATGGGAGGGAATAGACGGAGGACTGCACTGCGTATTAGAATCTCTCATTTCAAGCAATTGTTAGGATGTGACTTACTCTCTTGGATCACGTATCGCAGGTAGGTCATGCTATTGAGCGCATCGTAGGTCAGAGGCTCGCAATAGTTCTCAAGCACATCCGCCCTTGTCTTCGCCCAAACATCAGGGAATCTGGCCAGCATGAAGACAGTGAAGCTCAGTAAGCCTGCGGTGGTGTCTCGCGCTGCCAGGATCATGTTGACTACCTGGTCTCTCAGCAGGATCGGATCATCAGTCTCCTTGGCCAGCTCCTGAAGGAAGATGTAGGTTTGAATGCCATTGGGATTCCTGGGATGCTCCCACTTCTCCACAGGGAGGTGGGCGTTCTTCCGCCGGAACTCGAGGGCCTGATCGACAAACTTCTGAGCGTACGCGTGCACGGTCTTGCAAGATTCGCTAAACTTCTTGTCACGGTGGGCGAACATGAGATTGCCCAGACGCAGGCGGAGGATGGTGCCCTGCTGCGCATAATCCAAGGCGTGGTGGAGCGTAGTGGCGGACTCTGTCGCATTGTCATGCATGAGCCCGATGGACTCGCCAAACAAATACAGGGTGTTAGAGTCGAGGACCTGGTCATGAGGTTAGTTAGGAGCAAAAAATGATGCTGGGATAAGTCCAAGATACTCACAGAACGGAAGAACAGTTGTTGAAGATCTAGTTCGTAATTGTGGCGCTTGATAACCCCGAGAAACTCGTCAGTGTGCATAGCGAGCAGGGGAAACTCGTTGAACTGCAGCTTTGCAAAGGCGGGCCTGATGAGTCCACGCTGATGGGCCCAGATGTCGCCATCAGTGGTGAAGATACCCTTCCCGAGAAGAGGTGAGGCACTGTTCCGGCGCAGAGGGCCCATTCCAAAGTCATGGAACTGGAGCGCCAGGACGCTGCGGATCACGTCTGGGTCGCATGTGTTGATGGTTGTGCGGAGGTAGGTGTTGGTGGTAAAGGTCAGGCCGTTGGCCTCATGACGCTTCTTGAGCAGGTCGAGGAAGCCATACTTCTTGGCAGCCCCGAGGTTCTGGAGGACTACATCGGTACCAAGGAACGGATCGATCTGGGGGAGCTTGCGTGGAGGCTTGCAGCCGTGATGCCTGGCCATCTGCCACCGACGGCGCCAGAGCAGCAACACGCACGAAACATGGTAGAAGCAGTAGGCGGCAGCAAGAGCGCCGACAAGGATCAAAGAGAAGGCCATATTCGGAAGCAGTGACTAGAAAAGTCCGTGGCAGCCCAACGAGGTTGTATTTGCTTGAGTGTGATACAAGAAGCACGAACCATCCATAGTACTTATAAAAGGCTCCTCAGCTGCAGAGACAAGCTGTTAATGGAAGTTTCCCCGTTTGTGCTGAAACACACGAGGCGCTTGAAGCCAGTTGTGGAAGTAAACATAGAAGAGAAGGAGAAAACCGCTTAGACGGCACGCTAAACACTTAGTCTGGTCAGGATCCCGGTTATCGGATCGAGTAATAAGGGCGCAGCACTACGAATGTTACTGACTCTGACACGTAGGAGGACAAGAATAGGCACAATATGGCGCAGCATATGGCAGCATCTTTCGTGGTAACGAATGGGAGCCCAATGGGAACCCAATGACCATTCCAGGGGTCATCCTTTGACAGCTCCTAGTCACATTAGATTCTTCCTCTTGTAGTCAGACTTGGTCCGCTAGCGACCCAATCTCCGTTAATGCGGCCGCGCTGGCAGGAAGAGCCTGTATATCTAGTGAGTTGACGTAAGAACGATGTGGAACGCAAGGCGGAGGATTTCTCTGGGTAGCTTGAAGTCAAAACTAGCAGGCAGGGGGGTCTTAATGGGCTGGTTAGACTTGCGAGGTCTGACAGATATTCGGCGTGGTCGGAGAAGAACTTTCGACCACTTCTCACGGAGAATGCCAGGTGGACGGATGATACCCTAACTTTTGTGCACTCGTGCTCCACTGAAGGATCGGAATCATGGCTTAGGCGACTTTCTTGATTGGGTAGCATTGTCATGCCAGGAAACGTGGCTGCGACTCTCGCGGTTTGGGAGTCAGCATCTTCACAAATCGGCTCGAAACAGCCAATCGGCCCGTGCGCATCTCGATCACCACGACCCAGAACGAGATTGTGCCCCTGGCTAAGGAATTGGTGGGTGCCACCGAAGAATGGAACCTTAGCTACGGTGAGACCGAAACGCTGGCAGCAAGCCGATGCTCCGTCGTGGGGACCAGGGGGGGGGACCACACCAACGAAGTAACTGCCCTGTTCATCAATACGGCTTTCATCGGACAGGGGAGGGCGTGGCTTCTGCCTGATTGGTGATGACGGCATGCTTACTTAGTGTCAAGCGCCTTGTCAAGCGCCGCCTTGTTGACCAGGATCGCCTCAGCTCGATCGTCATTGCTAGGCGAATCGTGGCTGGGCTGAGGGGTTGGGAGCATCTCGTCGTGTAAAGACAATACGATTGATTCCTCGGTTTAAATTCCAGCTTATCATGACTATTCTAAGACTTGTCGCTAATTAACCATCCCCCACGATAACTATCAAAACCATAGTGATACATTTTACCCATGATACTCGTAAAGGCGGCAAATGCTACCTCCATCCAGGGATTATAATCCTAGTGCCTGTAATTGCCGGGGCTCAAGCTCATGTTCCTCCCCTGGATAAACGCACTGTGCCCAGTTGGGGTTTGTTCCCATCGGGGATCAGACGCCATGTTACCACTGCCGTCGTGCCCTGGCATAGGAGCTTGCTGCCGCCTTTCCTCCCGGTCTAGCGACACCTGCACGGATTTTTGGATGCTGTGTTCGGCGCCCACCGGTCTCCTCGGCACACCATCGGCCAGGGGCCCATCAGGCATGTGCTTCATCTCGTAGACAATGTGCTCCTCGCTCTCGTTCATGGTGAAGTTGGTGATGGGGTTGGCGGTGGGCGGGCCACGACCACGCCAACTGCTGTTACCACCGCCAAATGTGGCAATGACTCTAGGTGTATGCTTTGAGTCCTTCTGCGACGAGCGTGCCGTGCTGACCCGAGTCACCAGAGGTCCCAGCCATCCCTTGACGAGAGTGAAGACCAGTGGCAAGCTTGTGGTCACGACGGCCACAAACGTCTCTCGGACGGCCCATGAACCCGCCAATTGGGCTCCATCCACGGGGTTCGTGACAATGATGACGCATCGGAGTGTCGCAAAGACCACGATCAATAAACCGCCACTGAAGAGGAACATGAGACTGATCTTCTTCCACCTCTGCAGTCGGGATGACAAAAGCAGGGGCAGAGGGATAGAGAGCAGGTACAAATCCGTAGTAACGTTGCACGTCCAGTATACCCAGATAATGGCGTTGGACACGGCGGGTTGACAGACGTCTAAGAAAGAGCCGCGGTCAATGATTTGGACCTTCACGAATTTAGAATGGGATATTGATGAGTACTCACTTCCTGGGTCGGGGTTGATCTGCCAGTAACGGCGGAACGGTCTGCAGCTGAGGAACAAGTTCAACAGGACCACCAGCCATGTGGTGAGGACGAGCCCGAAGCCAATGTAGATGCGAATGCGATAGCTGCGGCCAAGGCCCTCCTGGTGTGTGTGTTAGACTTGCATTGATTTCTTCTTGTACATGATGGAGCCTTACCGTCAAGCGTAGGTAGAATACCAGCCATGAAGCCTTGAGGGACCATAGCAATACCGAGTACACAGACCATCCGGACAGCTGAATGATGGACCCGACGACTCGGAGGTGATACTCTTGGCTGTCGACTGGCAGCGCGGCTCGATGCGCATCAGTCATACCATTATTAGCCATACCCATCGCATACTCTCCGACCGAGTACGCAAGAGCACTCTCAAAAGCATAGAAAGTCTGTCGTTAATATCAAATAAAATTGCGGATTAGCCAAGGAATTGCTTGCAGCGGTCGCGAAGACGCGCGCGAGGGGACATCGTGAAACGAACCACTGCGACCCAGACCAGGTAATCATCCGGCTGGAGCCCTTTGAAGCCAACAGCCTTGACTCTAGCGTACGTCCTGAGCATCGTCACCAAGATTCCGAAAGCCAGCAAGGTCCAGACTTCGGTGTTGAGCTTCTCAGCAGCCGCGGCCATTGCCGCGGCCTGCTCAGGCGTTGGGGGAGGAGGAATTGCTGGATTATCCATGGTGAGAACGCCCGTGAAAAAAATCAATCAAAAGAACGACAAATGAGAGGCAATTGAGAATGCGGAGACGAGCCTGTTTTCACTGCCCGGAGGTTATAACCGCTCGCGATGAACCACACCCAGGCGGCACTTCTTATCGACAAGGAACCAGACAACAAGCGGGCCACCGATTGAGAAGGATCAGTGCGTTTCAGAGCTCGAGAATCGACTTGCCTCGTTGAGAACGAAACAACTTCTACTTTGCGATCAACGCTCGCCGGGCAAGGGCAGATAAATTGAGCTTACGCGGGGCGACGAACGCTCGGTGATCTAGCAGAAATGCCGTACACCCTCACCGCGATCGTTTCTATTTCGAGATATATATACTAAGCTGCTTTTTGCCGCCTTGCGCTAGACCCGCCAGGATGACGGCGAAGACGAGACTCGCAAGGATGGAGGCTGGGAAGACGAGACCCGCACGACGGAGAGGGACTAGGGGACGGGTAAAGGGGACTGGGGGACGGGTAGAAATGCCATTTCACATGCTAGTCGTGGAAATTTGAAGCTTAACGATAGTTCGTTGCATCATCTCAGATTGTCCGGCCGGATCTGGCCCCTATTCTCCGTGGAAGAAAAAAACCGGTTCTTGACTGCCACTGAGCTTCCTTTTTGTCCCCCATTGGCATGAACCGAGAGCACAGGGATGGACATTCCAGTGTACTATTTGAGATAATACATTTCTGAACCCTAGCGCGGAGTAGAGCATGCACGTGTGCTTGGCTGCATGTCAGCAGGATGGATGAGAGCAGAGATAACGCTTCACGTATGTTTATACAGGCACACCATCTTCTAATACGACCCTGTCAGAAACCAATAAGCTTAGTATACAAGGGTCAGGGATGTCATTCTGGGGTTCTCGGCTTTTCCTTTGCCGCATCTCGGCAGCACACAGCGGGGACAATAATTTGCTCAGTTATTATCAGCACACCACCTTGCGTAAAAGGTCCGTTTGGGGTGCCAATAATACGACGCTGTTTTAAAATAATAAGCTCTTATGCAAGGGTCGGGATAAATGCCCCTCTCTGGGGTTAATGTTCCTTGCTGTGCCACACACTTTCGATGCAGGGACACCACCAACAACCGCAAACTTGCCCATGCAAAGTTAGCAAAAGTGCCAATCTCTAGGATTCACCGCGCGCACAATCTCGCTGCAACACGCGCGCACGTAGCTTCCACTTCCATTCATGCCCTCGACCCACCGGTCTTGGCTGCCTCCTCCCCGTGCTCAGCCAGCTTACACAAGTGTTGTGTTGGTCGCTGCCAAGGACAGCTGGGCAATGCGACTCTGCAGTCGATCCTTTTCCAGATTTCATTTCGCTTCAGTGATTACCCTTATAGGGATCCATATATCGCCCCGAGGCGAGCTTCTCGACAAGACAGACATCAACGGAGTGAGCCATCGTTGCGACAATCGCGTGCGCGCACCTTGCCATCTCGTCAAGGAGTCAACATCTGAACCGCCGACATGGAGAAGGTCGATTGCGTCGTCATCGGCACCGGTAAGTCTTGCGACGATGGGAGAGCGGGAATCATCCTCAATTGATTGGAATATTTGCGCCCTCTGCGCCCATTGGTGGCACCTTGACTGACGACTCGAATTCTAGGTCTGTACGGCCTGGGAGCTGCGAAGCAGTTTCGACAATTGAACCCGGAGAGCTCCTTGGTCGTCTTTGAACGAGATTCCTCCGTCGGTGGCACCTGGGCTGACCACCGTCTCTATCCGGGTATCACGGCTAACAACCTTGTCGGTACCTACGAGTATCCGGACTTCCCTATGGACTTTGAGAGATTCGGGGTCAAGGAGAACGAACACATTCCCGGCGCTGTCCTCAATGCCTACCACAAGGCATACGCTGCCGAGTTCGGCATCACGCCGCTCATTCGGTTCAACACCAAGGTCCTGGTCGCCGAGCACATGGAAACCGAGGAGGGCGGATGGGAGCTGACGACACTCAATTCGGAGACCAAAGTGGAAGCCAAACTCTTCACGCGCCGATTGATTGTGGCCACTGGGCAGACCTCGGAGGCCTTCATTCCTCACTTTGACGGCCAGGAGACGTTTGGAGGCCCCATCTTCCACGGCAAGGATTGGCCTCTATATGCCGACACGGTCAAGAAGGACTACACCATTACAGTGTTTGGCGCGAGTAAATTCGCCTGGGATGCTGTCTACCAGTATGCCTTGGCCGGCGCAAAGGTCAATTGGGTCATTCGCTGTGAGTTCACAATCGCAATCCATGTCTCTTGCGCGTCACTGTTTTACTAACGGTCACCGACAGCTTCCGGTCATGGTCCTTGCTGGATGTCATCTTCGTGGGTGACACCATTGAAGAGATGGATTGAGCAGCTTGCCAGTGCGTATCAGTCCCGGATTCATCACCCCCAAAAATCACCATCATGATTCCTAACTTGTCGCAAAACAGATACTCGAGCCCTCACGTGGTTCAGCCCTTGCGTATGGGGTGAGAATGATGGCTACGTCGGAACGCGCAACTTCCTTCAGGGCACTGCTGTCGGTCGAACGATCACGGGCGGATTCTGGTCAGTCCTTGGCCAAGATGTCATAACAGCCAACAAATACGACGCAGATCCCAAGACTGCCAAGCTCAAGCCCTGGACCAGTGCTATGATGACAGGGCCCAGCTTCAGTATCTTCAACTACAAGTCGGATTTCTTCGAGGCCATCAAGACCGATCAGGTCACCATTCACGTGGGCGAGATTGACCATCTTAGCCCTGGTGCAGTCCATTTGGCCGATGGGACCAAGCTTGAGTGTGATGGTCTTCTTTCTCACACAGGATGGAAGCATGTGCCTCTCCTAAAATTCCTCCCGGAGGGTCTTGAGAAGGAATTAGGTATTCCTCACTTACCCCTCCAAGATGGCGATGCCGATGGCGTGGATCTCGCCAGCGACGCTCAATTATTGGAGAAGGCAGATGAGGAGATTCTGCGGACATTTCCAATTCTGAAAGATACACCCAACTGGAACCCGAATTATGTTCCATTGCACGAGCAGAAGGGTATCAAGACCGATGAAGCCGACGCGCCCAGCAAGCCACAGACGCCTTATATGCTCTACCACTTTTTGGTGCCCCCATCAGAGCGCTTCCTGAAGACCAGAGATATCGCATTTACTGGTTGTGTGAGCAATTTCAGCAACCCCATCACGTCATACCTCTCTGGCCTCTGGATAAGCGCATATTTCAATGGAAAGCTCGCAAACAACCCCAGCGCTGCCGTTGGAGACAAGGAGGCTTTGGCCAAGCTGAAGTACGAGACTATCTTGTACAACCGCTTCGGGAAGTGGCGTTATCCCACGGACTGGGGCAGCAGCAAGGTTCCATCATTCATCTTCGATGCTGTGCCTTATCTCGACCTGCTGCTGAACGACCTTGGTTTGCAGAAGCATCGCAAGGGAGGCTGGTGGTCTGAGATGTGGAGCCCATATGGTCCCCGTGACTACAAGACGGTGAACGAGGAGTGGCAGAAGCTGAACAAGACGAAGGACTGATGTTCCTTCGGCGGTGATCAAGGAGAAGGATTATTCAAACGCTACGGCGATGGTCTCTAGGACCCTGTTTTCACATATGTACTCTGGGAAATTGTCTGAAACGAAACAATTAGGTATGGCTGTTCGGGATGATTTATTAATTAGTCTTTGCAATTGCGGTAACTTGGGTATCACTGGCTGGGCGTGAAGTCTCCTTTGCAACAATAACCATGTTTTCTGGCACCTTGGACCAACTTTCTCTAAGTTCCTACAGAGTGCTTTCCACCTTAGACGTAAGAGAAAGAGAATAAAGTTCAACAGCAATGGAAGCTGCTAGAGCCCGACAACTCAACACAATGTTCCACCTTAGACATTTCATTACTCTTCATGTTTCGAAAACTTGATCGTGTAACCAGGGATATAGCGTACTCTCTCACAGAGGATGAATTAATAGCTGCAACAGTTACTTGGCGAGGAACTCATTCGCCCCCAGGTCAGTAACATGACCCAGACTATAATAATCACAGGTATGACAATTAATATCCTAGAAGACTATTCGGTCCACTTCTCCTTCACTGCACATGCCAATATCCGTAGTTGTGAACGACTAGAATACATAGCGGAAGTTGGGATTCTCAATGTCAGTCAGGTCCTGAAACGCCAGCTCATGGGAAACTTCTTCACCCTGCTCGTTCTTCTGGCGGTTTCGCCTCACAATAACAAATCGGGTAAAAAGAACCAGGAGTGTATACACGCCGTAAACAGCGATATGAACGATGAAGCCGCTCAAGTATCGTGGCGCGTCCTTCTCTCGGAAGATTTGCGGGGCGATGAGGTTTCCAATCGATCAGCCAATGAAGAGCATGGTCATGGTGGTGCTCTTCTTTGTCTGCCCTGCTGTGTTTCTTGTAATCATGGAAATAATCATGTTTCCTTGAGCGAGGAAGAACTGTGTGCAGTAGAAGGCAATGAGCATCCCCCCTGCATTAGATGTTGTGGGCTTGACAACCAGAATTACGATTGTTCCTACCACCGGAGGGATGGTCCATATCTAAGCATTGGATTCGTAAGTAAACTAATCAACGTGAGGCGGGGTTTGGAATTTAACTCACCAACATGGTAAAGCAAGTTTGTCCCCATTTCTGGGAGATATAGGCCGACGAGATCATGACCATGATAGTCCAACCACCTTGGGCAATATTCAGCAACTGCGTTTGAAGGAGAGAAAAGCCAAACTCTCGAATGATCAAGTTGGAGAAAACACCAAGCCCACCAATGACAAGATTGGCCACCAGAATCAGCATGACACAGCACCACACGAGAGGGTCTGTCAATGCTTCAATCACCTGGTATTTCTTATACTTTTTGTTCTGGATGCCCGTCTCGTTATGGCGGACACGCTCAACCATCAACTTTTTGTCGGCTTCGCTGAAACACTTTGCAGACATCGGACTATCTGGCAGGAGAACTCCGACGCAGACAGACCAGACACAAGTGACTGCTCCTAGGATGAGGAACAGAAGCTGCCAGTTTTTGATGGGCCCATTGGTGAAGTGTGAGACACCAAAAGCTAGAAGCCCGCCAACCTAATGACCAATACGTCAGTAGTGGACGCGATGTTCAAGTACGATTATGCTTTGCTAACCATGAGTTGGACTCCAGACATGCAATACCACAGAGAATTCAGCAAAGACTGCTCTTCCTTGGTATACCACATAGTTGTTCTATTCGGCATTAGCCAACCCAAATGCGGGACTGGATCTATAGCGAGCTTACAATGTCATCATTGCTGGCTGGACGCAGCTCTCAAAGAATCCCAACAAGAATCGGACTGCCATCAGAGAGCCAAAATTGGTGCTTGCGGCGGAGCAAGCCACGACAGCACCCCAAATGAAGATGTTGACTGAGAGGAGCTTTCCCAGGGGCAGTTTCTGGATTAAGACGTTTTGTGGATATTCTCCGAGGAGGATACCAATGTATAGAATTGTGCCGAGCCATTGATACTGCAATTCACCATTAGTATTCAACACTGTATCTGCTTCCAGATTTTGGATATACCTGTTGCCCCACAAGGTGAGCGTCATCTTTGATGCCCATAATTGATGCGAAATTGAGATTTCCCTTGTCAAGGCCTTGGCAGAAGTATGTCACCAGCTGAATGGCTAGGATGCGCCGGTTAATCATCCAGAAAAGGCGCCTGTTTGTAGCCTTATCGATAGTCACTCCCGCCTCGGTGGCATATTGAGTGGTGTCCTTATCCACTTGGTCGTCATGCTGCGTTTCTTTATCTGAAACTTCAAGATGATTGGGGATGCCCATTGTTTTTTGACCATTCGGATCAGAAGACATAGCGAAGTCTGTGACGTCGGTAGATGCAAGACCTTAGATGGCGGTAGTATGCTTTTACGTAGAAAGCGATGCCTTTGTTAGGAAGAAAGGGGAGATAATACCACGCATATATAAATTGGGCGCCTTCGTACGCTCGTACGCCTCAACGGTATGCTTGAAGAGCCGTCTATGTGAATTTGAGAGAGGGCATGAGTCCAATGCCTCGAAACGCCGACAGTTATTCCGCAGCTCCTAGAATTGACGCGTATTCAAGGAGAGACATCCAAACCTCCACTCGTTCCCCCTTGATATTGCGGGGTTGGTGAGGGGAAGAGCTGTTGACGTGGGGTGTTGTGGAGGCTGCCTCGATCATGAGGGCACCGGACGCCGGCCCGGAACATGACCCGGGCAGCCATTTCCTGGAATCATCACGCGATTAGCCATCCATTGATCAATTAGAAGAGAATAACGGTGAATCCCTATCTGTCCGCACGAAGTCTCGGGCCGCGTTCCGGATCTGATGTCAATTTGCTTCGGAGTCTACCATTTGTTAGTGATTGGCTGAAGCATAGGCCCATTTGGCTTTGTTCCCAGCAAATGTTTAAGATATTCAAAACTACGCTTGCCCTGGGACAGACATCTGCGAATTCGCCCTCCAAATCTTCAATTTTCATTGCTCCAGCTGCCCTACTCTTGAGACATGGAGCCAAAAAAGCGAGGAATCAGCGAGGTAAATGGAAATCAAACCTCCCCATCTAAGCTGTTCAAGAAAACATGCCAAGATGTGAGTAAAATCCGAACTACGTTTCCAAAACTGAGATCAACAGTGGTTCTTCTCCACAAATGACCAGACGTTAACACCAGTCTTAGTCCCAGCTCAAGGGCCGGAGCATGAATGGAGGCTCTGTGAGGAGTATAGAGAGCTACAAGAATCTTGGGGAGCTTTTCTCGCCGTCGGCCATTGCTAAAGTGTGGGGAATCGCTCAGAGAGATCTAAACAACGTATTTGCCTACACTCTACCTCGTTCTTGAATATTTCTTCGTTATATTCTAATGTTCGGGTAGGTTCAACCGCCACATCTCTACCCTGAGTATACCAAACCTGGCCATAGCAACTACGTTTACAGAGAGCTAGACTTTTGGACGTCGGGATTTTTCCCCGGATCTCTCCACCTCCTTTTAGAACGTCAGAGGAAGTATCGTCACTTGACCACGCCACCCGGCAACGAAATACTACCTCACCCCATCCAGCTTGAGTATGTACATTTATGAACACCCCGGATAGGATCCAAATTCGAACTAATGCTTGAGATTAGCTTTGCTTGCAAGTGGTGGACAGAAAATCTGCACAATAATGCCACGCTTCTTGGTACACATGACCTTGGGTTCATGATCTATCCTTGGGCGCGGGTGCGATGGGAACTTGACCACGATCATCGATCTTTTGATACCATGATTAGAGCCGCGGGTACCCTAGCCGCTCGGTTCAATGAGAAAGTCGGAGCCATTCGGTCATGGGACACATGTATGACCAAAGTGTACCATTACAACGATCTGACCACCGACTTTCTTGTCATTATTGTGAGACAATCTACAGGTTAATGGATCATACAAATTGATTGCTGACAGAGAGGCTTAGGATAATATGATGAATTTGGATCTTATCTTCTGGGCAGCTGCCAATCATGATTCGCCAACAGAAGCCCAGAGGCTCTATAAGATTGCAGTTAGTCACGCCCGAATGTCTCAGAAGCATCACGTTGCAGACGATTTCTCTACAAGACATGTCGTCAATTTTGACCCCAAGACTGGCCGAGTCAAGGATAAAATTACAAACCAAGGCTACTCGCACGATTCCTGTTGGGCTAGAGGACAAGCATGGGCTATAGCCGGATTCGCCCAGACAGCACAATGGACGGGGGATGACAGCTTCTTGCAAACGGCCATCGATTGCGCCGACTACTTTATGAAACGATTACCCCCCGACACTGCGATTCCACCATGGGATTTTGATGCACCTTGCATTGATGAGCAGGGAAAAGCGCAGCCTACAGACACCAGCGCTGGGCTCATTGCTGCGTACGGGATGTTGATCATTCATGACATCCTGAGAAAGCGTAATCAAAGCACTACATATCTTGAGTCAGCCCTACGAATTGTGAACGGGACCTGCGAACATCACCTGAACGAACGCGCTGGATTCATGAAGGATTCAAGGTCTATGGAAACTGTTGAGCATGGATTGCTTCAGAATGCCAGCTGGGCCGTCTCTGCTGAGCTGCATGAAGGTGATACGATCGTCAATGGCGCGACCATAAACAATTTTGAGCACGCACCTAGAAGATGGGCGAATCATGGTCTCGTGTATGCCGACTATTTTTATTTGCTTGTTGGGAACAAGTTGTTGGAGATGGGTGTTGGGGAGCAAGTTCTACGGCAATGCAAGCAAGCCAATGGAAGTAATGGGAGGTCAGGCGTCAATGAGAATTAGACTTTGGGTTTATAGATTTGAGAATTGATATTGTTTTGCTTCGCTTCGTAATGCAATTTGCTAGGGCATTCGTTTGGTTTGAGTCCCAGCCTCAAAGTTTCCCAACTCGCGTCCGCTGGAGAGAATGACTCCTACATAAAATCCGATTTTGAGTTGGAATGACTGAACATACTAACTCTTTGGTCAAGCAAGTCGAAATTATCCAAGTTCAAGATGAACCCAGCAGAGTCGTCGGTCTGGCCCATCAACGAAGCATGCGATAGCCCCTGATTCTGATCGCCAACTGCCTGGAAAGCCAGCGGTAATGGCGGGAAGGCCAATGATATGCTATCAGGTGAGCCATCATTATTGTTATATTGGCTGAAAGGAATATTGTGACTACATTCGCCGCTATCGAAAAAGGGCAAAGAACCAGCTGGGCACCGTTCCAGAGGGGGGTTGTCCTCGGGCCCCGATGTCATAGCTTGAGCTCGACGGGCTAACGGTAAGGGTCTGGCTTGCTCCGCAAACGCTGACTCTCTGATATCCTCTTCCTGTGGGGCTCCTTCCCTCCGGGCTTGGATCAAGCGGGAGGCAAAGCGAGAAGCTAAGTTGGGTTCTTTGGAACAGTGAGGGCCGCTCCAGCGGCGTGATATCTCCTCCAGGCTCGTGACAAGGGAGTCGTACGCAGTTGACAGAGGGGCATTGTAGAAAGTGGCATGTGTGATAAGCATGCGGCAACATACGAACAAGCAGAAAGCAAACTGAGGACTAGTAGGAATAGAGGAGTTCTGGAGAAACTTTTGGGCGATGATGGACACCTCCTTTGCGGCTGCTTGGCAAGTCTCGGCACTCGAGGAAGAGGGCTTGACGGCGGTCATGCTCTGCCACTTTGGTTTTGGGTATGCAACTGCTTGGTGAAGGAGCACCACCGCCGTGTTCTGAGTAATGTGTGCGAGGGTGAGATTAGGGTCCATGTTCCCGTCGCTGTTGAGGACACACGCCTCACGCCATTTCTCAGGGAGAAGAACCTTCCACCTTTTGAAGCGTTAGCAGCTCTTTGTACTTATTTAGCCTTCAAGTTTCAACAACTCACTGTACTAGTCGGAGGTCTAATTGTTTGAATCGCATGAGCCACCGCTGAATATCATCCCGTTCGGAGGTGTTCAGCTCGTGCTGAAGAAAGAAGGACGTGACAAGACTGAGACTCTCCGTAGCTTCAATGGAATACGCAAAACCTCCCAGTGATGCCTCTTCCTGTTCGTCCGTCCGTCGTGTCGAAAGCGGGTAAGAATTATATGACTGGTCAGACACGCCAAAGTATGGTGTAGGCACTGGCAGATTGTCACTCTTCGCCCAGAGAGCTCCCTCACATGGTAGTCTCCTCTTCACATCCGCAGTCGTAAGCGAAAGATTCCACCCCGTCGCAATGCTGCAGAATCGATCCATAAGAAAAACATTCCAAAAAACACGCCGCCTCCCCTCCGCTTCTGTCCAGCTCGAGCTGGGTGCCAGGAAGGCCATGCGTCGGATTAAATTGTTTGCAGATGATTTGCCATTCTCATCCTCGTCTTCTTCGACGCTGAGCCTCAGTTGCTCGACAGTTCTCGTCATGCTCCCTACAATAGACCATGCAGAAGGCCCTCGGCCACTACCGATGATGTCAAATGCGCAGATGATGAGTGCCTGCAGATTTTCGACCGAGAACGACTCCATGCTAGCAAGTATGACGCGCTGCCTACTCTGAGTTGCGTATCTAGAACGTAGATTTGGGCTGGCATCAAGCTGAGGGTCCTGGGAGAATCTCATACACAAGGAGATGATGGCATGAAGTATGTTGGCATGTCGTTGTCGCTCAGCAGGATCCTTTAACATGGCTCGAAATTGGCTAACATGTAACATTGGAATCCAGGGATGGATTTTCTCAAAATAAATATCGACGAGAGAGTCAACGAGCTGGTCGGATAGTGGGGCAAGAGCTTCATCAGAAGGATATGTCTCTGATATCCGTGGAACTTGCCGTTGTTGGTCCGATCGCCCTTCATCCAGGCCCAGATTTTCTGCACGTGGAGGCTGATTTTCAATGGACGCATCATCCTGGGCTTGGCCATTTTGCACTGAATCAGCTAAGTCGTTTAACATTCCCTTTAGATCTTCAACAAGACCATTCATAGAAGCTGCGGCGTCCTGCGATCGACCGGGTTCGTCTGCCGTACGCAACGCGTCGGGGTTCAGACTCTTCCATATCTGCTGCCAGATCACGCTCTGTCCTAAAAACATGTTTTCAAGTGTCACTTGAAGCACATCAGTATTATGAACGGAGAAAGGGTTGAGGGGGCTCAACTAACCCACTCGCTGGGTCAGACTCTCAATTGCGCCTGTACGCATCCCTGGCTTCAGCTTTGCATCGTTGTACGTGCACGGGATATCTGACGGTGGTACGCAAGGGCATGATATTAGGTGAAGTTCTCCATTATGAATTAACAGAGGGCAAACGAACCTAAGCGCACGCATTGGGTGCAGGGTTGTGTCTTGGAGCACTTGGCCTTCT